GTTAGCAAGAAGGACCAGGAGAAGCGGCGGGGGAGGGGCCAGGGGCTCCGTGGATTTGAGACGCCAGGGGCAGGGCGAGTCCCAGGGGCGACAGGACGCAGGCTGTGGTCCTGGACGTGGGCGGCTGACGTTGTGTGGGGGAAAGAGGCCTCTGGGGTTGCCTTAAGGGTCAGAGAGGTGACTGGCTCAGACGGGGTTTCTCCAGAGCCTTTGAAGTCGCCCCACAGTGTCAGGGTGACGGAGCAGGCGCAGGTGCAGGGCCCCCCAACCCTCAGGCAGGGCTGCCGCACTCACGCTCAGCAGCAGCCCCGAACGTGGGTGCCGTCGAGGGGCCGGATGCGACCTGAGGACTGTGTAAATGCAGCTGCTCCTTAACTGGAGGCAAGGAGCTCAGTGCTGCCGCTGGGCAGAAACCAGGTGCCAGGCCAGCAAAAACCGGCCCTCGGGCCTTGTGACTGCCACCCGTGCCAGAGAACAGGGCCAAGCACCCGGTGGCTGCTCAAGGAGAGCGACAGACTCAGGAGGTGGCAACGTCAGGGGCCTCAGGGGGACCTGGGGACCTGGGGACCTCGGGAAGTGGCAGGGCTGGGCACGGCCTGCTGCCCCCAGGCCCTCCCGGAGCAGCCCTCCCCGCCGGAACATGCCCCATAGCCTGTCTCCCTGGCCCGGGCAGCAGCCCGCCATGGCCGGCCCGAGCAGGCCGGGCCGGGCCCCGAGTCGGCTGCAGGCCCTGCTGGGGTGGGCGGAGGCGCACACGGGGCTGCCAAAGTCAACACCGTCTCACGGCCCCCGCAGGCCGGGTTCCCAGCCCGCTGGCCGGCTCAGGCCTGTGCCGGGTCAGCTGGAGCTCCTCTCCCCCCGGTTCCCCTCCCTCGGCACCGCGGCCCAGCCGCCACTCTTCAGGACCCCAGACAGGCCCGCAGGGGGACGGCCCTCTGAGCTCTCGCGGGGGACAGGGGCTGCCGGCCCCTGCAAGGTCAGCGGCCACGTTCCCCTGCCTTCTCTCCTGCTGGAAGGAGCGCCCCCGGCAGCCCTCCCCTGCCGGCCCGAGAGCGCCCGCCCGAGTCCCTACCTGTCCCGACTGCTGCGTGTGGTGGCCCTCGCCCACGTCCCGTGAAGACCCCGCCCTGAAAAGCCTGTCTTTCCCCAAACTTCAGTCCCCGGCACATGCCAGCCCTCCCCGTTGGGAGCTGTGATGCCCCTGTCGGGGGCAGGGGGCGGGGGCAGGCTCTCACGCCCAGACGGGACCAGTGACCTGGCTGGGCTATCCGGAGGCCGTGCCCTACTGTCTGGGGAGTGGGCATTTCTGCAGGTCGTCCCCCCCGTGAGCCGTTCCGGTGTCCTCGGGCGCAGCCCCAGGAGGGCCCCACACCCTGGCCCCAGCCCCTGCACGGGGGTCTCCTGGGTTCCTGGCTGAGCCCAGGTCCCGGCCCCTAAGCTCGCCCTGGCCAGGAGGAGCAGGGTCCACCCTGGCCCCTCACAAGGGGGCGGTGGGCTGGGAGGGGCGGATTTAACTTGCAAATGGCCTCGGGTAAACCGGGGGTGTGCTGACGCCCCGCCCACCCGGCCTTCCCTGCCTGGCTCTGGAAGGGGGTGCCCACAGCTCTCACCCTCCGCCTCAGCCCGATTTGATTTGCAAACCCGCACAGCGCGGTGCCTGGGCCCGGGCAGCGGAGGCTTGGGCGGGCAGCGGGCCACTCCCCACCAGCAGGCCCGCGCCCCCGACATTGGCCCCTGCGACGTGCCCCTTGTCCCCCCTCCTCCAAACGGCCCCCAGCTCTGCCAACCCCAGACACGCCGTGCCCCAAGTCCCTCACGCCCCAGCGGACACCTGTTTGCTCAGGGAGGGAACCTGGCGATGAGGAGCCAACCCTTTGCCTGAACAGACAGGGGCCGCCGGACCCCCCTGCAGCCCCCCGAGGGATAGAGACTCGAGCTTTTGGAGTAACTTGGAAGGGGCTGTCACCTGCCCTGGCCCTCAGGCGGGCAGCGGGATGTTCCTAGCGCCCTTTGCCCGGAGGGCAGCCCGGCAGCTGCCTTGCCCAGCCCTGCTCTGCTCTGCCGCCCTCCCTCCCTCCCTCCCTCCCTCCCTCCGCGGATCTGTCCTCCCGGTCCCCCCAGGCCCCCTCCCGAGCTCAGCTCGGTCCCAGCCCAGCCGCACAAAGGCCCTTTGTCTGGCCTGCAAACCCGGGGCTGCGTCTGCTAATCAGAGGGCCCTGCAGCGGGGGCGGGACGGTGGCGCTGTCCCCAGGCGCTGACAGCCTGTCATCGTCCCTAATCCTCACCTGCCCAAGCCCCTGCTCATGCCTCCCCTCCCTGGGCTGGGTCCCGGAGCCTCGGAGCCGGGGAGGGGGGGGTGCCTAGGAGGACGGGGTGGGTCTGGGCCGCTCCTGGCACCCACTGGGCTCCGTTCACAGCCTGCCCGCGCGGCCCTGGGTGTGAACGTGCAGAGAGGCACTGCCCGGTGACAAAGGTGGCGCCTGTGCTGGCCCCGGGCCACCCCCACCTGCCGGGGCCCCGGTCGGGGTGGGGGGGGCGACCCCTCAGACTCCCAGGTGTTTGCTTTGGCACTGGCGAGCCCCTGCTGCTGGCAGCTCACGGGCCAGGGCGCCTGCTCCTCAAGCAGCTCCGCCGCCGCCACCCGCCGCCCGGCTCCTGCTCCCGGCCCTCCCCACCTCCCGAGTCCCCCCCACGGGAACCAGGGGTCCGCCTTCTCCGCCAGCCACTTGCCCGGGGCCTGCACACCCACGGGTCCCCGACTTTGCCTCCACAAGCGGGTCCCACGCCACGTTCTAAAGAGCCCAGCCACAACAAGCCCAGGTCACGTGGGGCTGAAACCGGTCTTCCCTCAAGGTGGAGCCTCCGGGGCCGGCGTTCCCGGCAGAGAGCGCAGGGAACCGGCCTGGGAGAGGCCGCGGGGACCGGTGCAGGGCCTGTGGCCGCCTCCCTCCTCCTCCCGGCCCCAGCGACCCACGCTGCCCCTGTCCCTGGTCCCGGCCAGACTCCCGGCTTCTGCCGCCATTCTCAGACGACGTAAGCACCGTCGGTCAGGGCCAGCCCACATCCTTGTACAGATGGGGAAACTGAGGCTCCGAGAGCGGCAGCCCCAGCCGGTTCAGGGCTGCGTCTGAGGCTAGAGTTGGGTCTCCTGACTCTGTCCACGGAGGTGGGTCCCTCCCCCGTCCCCCGGGCGACTCGGCTCCCTGACAGCAGCCGCCCCCGGGGGGTTACTTTTTTCAAGGTCAACCCGGACTCACCCGTGTGGGAGCCCTGGCCCCTCCCCCGTGGAAGCGCACCTGGAGCAGAGGCGGGTGGATAAGGGCCGACCGAGGGGATGGGACCGAGCACGCAGGCCCACAGAAACGCCAGGATCCCATCGGAAACGCGCCAGCGCGCCACACGGAACACGTGTGCCGGCGGGAGGGAGGCCTGTGGGCTCTGTGCCGCCCTGCAGCCGCCTGGGGAGCCCTGGTCAGGCGGCCCCCAGTGGGGTCAGGACCAGCCGGCCAGCGTCGGGGTGCAGGGGAGGGGACAGGCCACCCCCAGGCCCTGTGCCGAGGGCCAGGGCCTGTGGGCAGGGCAGGGACGGGAGGGCCTCGGAGCACCCACGCGGGGGACGGACGAGGCCAGGGCAGCCGGCGGGACGGGCAGGGCGGCTCGTGTGAACAGCAGAGCCTCAGGGGACAGCGACGCCCACTCTCTCCCTCCGTCCCCGCCCCCGGCCAGCCCCCCACTGCTGCGCCCCGTCCCACACGGCCCTGTGGGGGGTGGCCTGCACGCAGCTGCGGCCCGTGAGGCAGGCCCTGTCTCTGCCCCTCCGCCCCTCCCCGGGGGCCTTCCGATGGCACGTGTGTGTGTCAGCTCACAGCCCGCCGGCCGCAGCGCCCACTCTGACCACAACCGGCCACCCGCTGGCCGGCCTCCTGCTCAATCTCTCGGCTCTCCTGGGGCCTCCCTGGGACCCCGGCCGCCTCCTCCACGTGCCGGGGTGGTCTGTGCGGGTTGGGGGCTGGGAAACGCCCAGGGACCCCGGGGAAAGCTGCCCGGCCCACACTGCCCAGCACCACGGGCACCGGAAGCCCATCCGACGTGGGATTGGAAACGCCAGGCCCTCGCCCAGACAGAGCTGTCTGTCTGTCTGTCTGTCCGTAAAGGCCTGTCACACACCAGAGAGAGGCAGGCCCAGGTGAGGCCCAGGTGAGGCCCAGGTGAGGCGGGAGACGGGGCCGTCTCGGGTCACACACAGCGCGCTGAGCTGGGTCCTGGAGCTTGGACCTGACCCCGGGGACACAGGAAGGTTGTCACAGCCCTAAGGAGGGGAGGGGCAGCCCCAGGCAGGCAGGTCTGGGAGGTGCTGCGGCTGCCTGGAGTGGGAGCGGTCCCCTGGGGAGAGACACAGGCGCCTCGAGGGGGTGCACAGGTGCACCCACCTTTTCTCAGCCTCAGGTCGCCAAGCACCAAGCTCCTGGCCTCGCAGGGTCGTTCTCACCTGCGTCTGAGTGAAGGGTCTTCGCACCCCACAGGCTGGGCGGGTTTCACTGGGGGTCTGCGCAGCCCCCCGGGAGGGACCCCTCCGCCTCGGGTGCCCCTCCCCGCCCCGGGTCCTGGCTCAGCTCTGGCGCAGGCCTGGCGCGGGGCCAGCTCTCAGCCAGCCTGTTTTGCACATGGCAGAGCCGATCTCGCCCTGTTACCTGCGTGGCCCGGGGCGCACGCACACCTGTAATATGGCGCTGGCTCATGCCTCTGCCGGCTCCAGCCAGACCGTGCTCCCCGAGGGCTGGGAGGGGGCCTTCCACGTGGGAGTCCCCCCACCCCGGGGCGGTCAGCGGGGGCCTTGGTGCTCAGAGCAAACCCTCCCCGTCCCTGGCGAGGAACCGGAGCCTGGTCCCGCTCCCTGCTCTGTGCCCCACCACACTCCCTCCAGCCCGTGGGGGCTCCGGGCTCTCAGGCACGTCCAGGCCCAGAGCTGGCTGCAGCGTTCGGGACGCTGGGGTGTCCTCAGCTTCCATGTCCCTGGGGACCGACTCCCAGGGAAACCAGAATGCCATCAGCGGCTCCGGCTGCCCAGGGCAACTTCACACCTCGAGCCGTGCTCTTGGGGAGATAAGAAGTCCTGGGTGTGGCAGAGCACAAGCACATCCAAGTGCAGGTAACATTTTCAAAGTGTGAACCCAGGACTCAGACCGGCAGAAGAAAGGGTGGTGGGCACAAGGGGGAAGGGGGACCGAGAAGCGGGGTGGGGGAGGCAGGGTGGGGAGGTTGAGGGCAGCTGGGGCCAGGGCTCGCCTCCAAGGGTCTGGCGGGGGGTTTGGCGGGTGCCACCGCCAGGGCTTTACGACCCCTGCATTCATTCATTTACAGGGTAGGAGTGCCGGCTGTGGGTGAGGAAACGAGGAAAAAAGAGCAAGACTTGCTTATGCAATAATGCTTCTCAGGCCCTAACCTCTTCATTCTGGTGATGAAGGCGCCCCTCAGCCTGCAGGGGGCCCCGCTCACAGGGATGTCTCCTTCCTGCACCGCGCGCGCCCTTGCTGCCTGCCGACGGATTCAGACCAGCCGATGTGCCGCGTGGGGTATCTGGGGGTCCTGCCCGGGCCCCCCCACACACCCCCCCCCGCCCAGCGTCCCTGGCCACTGATGCGCACACCGGTCACAGGTGGCGCATCTGTCACGGGTGGTGAACCACACGCACACAGCACGCTTAACTGAGGCCGCTGCGGCTCAGGCCCCCCTGCGGGTGCCTCCCGGCCCGGCCCAGGCGCACAGCTGGGGAACCGTGTGGCGTCCGGTCGCCCTGCCTCCCCGGGCTCCTCGGAGCCGGGCTGGCCGGTTTCTCCGACCGCCCTGGTGTCGACGCTTCCTCACGCCCAGCGTTGGAGGGTTTCCCCCGGTGACCCCACAGCAAGAGCAGCCCCACCCGGTGGGGAGGACGGGTCCGGAGCTGTGGCAGCGGGGTTCGCTCTTCCCGGCTACCGGCTCTCGCCCTCCGTTCTGGGCCCTTTCTCCGGGGGACCTAATCGCTCCCTTCGTCCAGCTCCCAAAGCTGCGTCCACTCCCTCGTCCGCTCTTTAGCTTGTTTCTTTTTAGAAGTGATGCTTGCGGAGCAGCCCCGGTGCCCGGACCCGGAGACTGAACAGTGAGCCGTAAACGCGCAAAACCCCTCGTGCGGCCCAAGCCTCGCGCTGTGCTGCCTTGTAGCCGTCCACGTGTTCACTCATTCGTTCGACAGACTTCACAGAGCTTCTACGAAGTGCCAGCGTGTCCCGAGTGAGGGCACACAGGGCACCCCAGACACAGCCCCGAATGCTTGTGGTGGAGGGGACCAGCACGCCGGCCAACGGTGCCCCAGCGTGGTGAGGGCTTGGATGGAAGGATGGACGGACAGATGGGTGGGCGGGTGGGTGGATGGTGGATGCATGGATGGATGGATAGACAGATGGGTGGATGGGTGGGTGGGAAGGTGGGTGGGTATGTGGATGGATGGATGGATGGACGGACGGATCGGGGAGGAAGGAGGGGGAGGGAGGGGGAAGGTGGGGGCTGCCAAAGAGCGTGTGTTTGTGGCTCAGTCTCCGGACTCGGCACCTCGGGGGCTGTCTCGGCCCATCCTCGGTGCTGCACAGGGGTCTGAAGGGGCGTCAACTCCTGCCCTGCGGCATCCAGAGGCACCGGGGGCTCTGTTCAGCCCGCCCCACCCACTGACGCCCTCCCCGGAGTGGCCCCCGCAGGTGTGCCAGGGCCCGGCTGCCCGGGGATAGGGCTCAGGAAACCAGAAGAGGCAGTCTGACCAGCTCCCCGCCGGCCTGCCTGCCCCCGGGTGTGTTTCGGGGAGGACCAGGGTCCCCAGGCCGCCCACACGGGTCTCGTTGACTTGCCCTCCCGGGCACCCTGTCTCCTAGGATGCCCTTGACCGGCCAGAACAGCGCCAGTCGGTCAGCCGTGCGACCAGCCCCACCCCTGTGGCTACAGGTGACCTGCGTGACACGGTGAGACGGCCGCCCGGCCGAAGGCTCTGTCGGGACTGTGACTCGGGTCTGTTTGCAGGGTGCTGTCATCGGCGCCTCGGCCACCAGAGCTCCAGGGCCACACCTGCCTGCCTGCCCACACAAGGAGGCCGGCTCCGGTTACGCTGTGTGTCCATGGTAACGGGTGGGGTGGGGTGGGGTGGGGAGTGTCGGTGCGGCCTCTCCCCAGCCCCCAGGAAGGCGGGGGACAGGAGGAACCCAGCAGAGCCCACTGGGGTCTCAGGGGGCAGTCTGTCGGCCAGTGGCTGTGCCGGTCACAGGTGCCAGGACCTCGGGTAGCCTACCGCCCCCTGTCCATGCCAGGTCCCTCGTCACGCCGCTCCGGGCCTGTCCGTACCTGCTCCGCGCACCCAGGACTGCCTGAGCCCCTCCTTGCCCTTCCCTCTGCGGACCCCCCAGGCCTGGGAAAGGGCTTCCGGAGCAGCGGCCGAGTGTCACCTGGGCGTGGCCCAGGGCGGCATCACCGTCCTCCGAGCAAACACCAGGCACCGCCGTCTCTGCTCTGGCCCCCCGCCGGGCGTGGCACCACCGCCCCCACAGCCACCGCACTGCTGCTGCGGGGTGCCCCCCCCGCCACTCCTGCTCCCTCCCTGCGGCCACCAGAGTGAGCGCTGAGACCCATCGCCTGCTCTCGCTCTGGCCCCCCCCAGAACGTCGGCCTGTCCCCCCTGGGGACCACCCACCGGCATCGGCTGTGCCGCGTCTCAGAGATGCCCAGCTTCCCCGTGTCCCTGCCCCCTCCCGCCCCTCCTCCCAGCGCCACGGCCTCCCCCTCAGACTCGCCGCAGCCCGAATCTCACGCACCCACGGGCCCCGTCGCCGTCCTCCCGAAAGCAGACCGTTCGGGACTCGGCGTCCAGCACGCCCCCTGCCCTCTGCTTCCCAGAACACGTGCCCGGCCCTGGCGTCTGGGTTGGTGCCTTCTTCCCTCGGTTTACCCGTCCCCTGCACAGACGGCACCCGAGGGCGCCGGCCTCTCTGGGGCGGTCCCAAGTGAGCCTCCGCCCGGGGCCTTTTCTGAGGAGCGAGTGACACGCACAGTGCCGATGCCGTGTCCGCGGTCCCGCCAGACTCGAGGCCGACGGGTTGCACAGTGACGGCCACACGCGGCCGAAGTCCTCGGCGATAAGCAGGGACAGAGCACCTGCCTCCCCTCGGGTGGACCTTGGAAACGTGAGGCCAGAGGACAGAAGCCGGACCCCAGAGGCCGCAGGGTGCGCGCCAGCCTGGGGGGCAGGAAGTGCCGGGACAGGCCGATGTGCAGGGGCCGCGTGGGGGAGGGGGCGGGGGCCGCCTGCCCCGGCCCGGGCCCGCGTGGGGGCGGCGATGTGCTCGGCCTGAGTGCGAACTAAGTCTCAGGGTCTCAGGGAGGCCGGCGTCTGTGAAAAGGGCGTGGGGTCACTGTGCAATGCAAACGGTGCCAGGAGTGGGCAGAAGACACCAGCGATCTTCCTGTGACCGTGTCCTCGGTGGGGGCCCGTGCGCCAGGGCCCTGTGCGCGGGCGGGCGGGCAGTCGCCGTCAGCGTCCGCGGAGACGGAGGGGGCTGGAGACCGGGGAACGCCCGCTGGGCCGGCGCCGGCCGGCCGGCACGGGCGGGGCCGCGCTGCTGAGGGTCCGGTGCAGGTGGGGGTGGCGGGGGGGTGGCGGAGGGGTGCATCTGGGCGACGTCCACGAAGAGCCTCTCCCTGGGCGGGGGGGGCCCTTGGCTGACCCCTGCCGAGTTCACTCTGCCCCCTCCCCTCCGCCTGGGCAGCCCCGCCCCCTGCTGACAGCCCCGCCCCCGATCACCGCAGAGGAAGATGGGAGTGAGGCCGGGGTGGGGGCGGGGCGGGGTGGGAATGGCGGGAGCTGGCGGCAGAGACCGCGGGGCACGAAGCCCGGTGGGTCCCAGGGGAAGGGCTGGGCCTGTGGCCGGCCGTCAGCCGGGCCTTGGCGACGGGTGACCCGTCCCACCGCCCAGAGGCCGCAGGGGCGGGGCGGAGGGCTCGTCTCAGGTGAACTTGGTTGCTAATTCCGTGGGGAGGAAGACGTCTTCTCCCGACTGAGTCACACGGACCGCGTGCCCCGGCCCTGACCCCGGCCCCGGCCCTGACCCCGGCCCCCGGCCCCGCCAGGAATGCAGCTGGGGGCTGCTGACGCCCCGGGGCGGGAGGAGCGGTCCTGCCTCCTGACCCTCCCCGCTCCTGCACAGCTGCCACCTGCCCGTCCCTGTCACCCGCCCAGCTGCCCTGGCTGTGGGGCGCAGCCCAGGGAGGGACAGGGCCCAGCCCCGGGCACTCGTCACGCGGGGTCTCCCACCCAGGGGCCGGTGGCTGGGACGTGGACCCCCTGCCCTCTCCGCCTCCCGAGCCCTCAGCCTCCCGCGGGGAGAGGCGCACGGAGGACAGTGAGCCCGGGCTCTCCCGCCTCCGGCAACTCGGACAGAACCTCCCGGCCCCCGGCCCCCGGGGGCACTGCACCCTCCGAGGCCTGGCACCCCGCTGACACGGGAGCAGAGCGTGCTCCCCAAGGCCCCGAATCGCCCGTCCCCCACCCCCAAGGGCTCGGCCCAACCTGTCCGGCAGGTGTGCCTGGCTCGGAGCCAGCCCGGCCCAGTGCTGGGCCGCCTCACTTACGGGAAGGAAGCCTGTTAACAGAGGACAAGGGGCAGGTGGAGGACAAAGGTGGCTGGGCCTTTGTCTGCACCTCCAGGAGCCCAAGGCGGCTCCCAGCACCCCCGGGGGCCGGACCTGCCCGCTGCAGGGCGGCACGCAGGGCCCGGAGCTCCCTCCTCGGCCCCCCACGACTGCCCCCGCTCCCTGGCCTGCCTGTCCTCCCCCCCGGCCACACTCTCTGCCCCAGGGGAGGCCCCGTGGCTCGGCCGATGGCCGGGACACAGCCAGAGAGCCACAGGTGCTCGTCGTCCTGAGGGGCACGTGGCGGCTCGGAGGACAGGGGGCGCCCCGGGGGCTGTTTTCTGTTTCGAGGAAAGGAGAGGAGCTGGAGGACACAAGGCCCAGGGTGTCCGAGGGCCTCAGACACCGTCCGGGGAGCCTGCCTGCCTCTCAGGCTTCAGGCTCACAAGGCTCCGGCCGGGTGGCTCAGCTGGCTGGAGCGCTGTCCCGACACGCCAAGGTCGCAGGTTCAATCCCGGGCCAGGACACAGGCAAGCACCAACCACTAAAGCATCGACGACGAATGGAACCGTGAATCGATGTTTCTCTCTCTCTCTCGAAACCCATTTAAAACGCAAGTTTAAAAGGTGCTCTTGCGCACTCGGACCACAGGAAACTCAGGACAGCCACATGCCCGGCTAGTGCCTGTCGGCCGTGCACCGACGCCCGGCACCGGGTCCGCCGGCGAGCTGAGGCCCCGCCAGCCCACGCGTGCGGCCTGGCGGAGGCACCGTGGACGCCACGAGACCCTCGTGGACGTGCTGGGCGTGGCACCGCAGCGGGCGCTGAGGGCAGCCGGCGGTCTCCCCGACGGCCTCCCTTTCAGAGGTCGGGCGGCTGCCTCGGGGACGGCCACCAGCCAGGGCCACGGAGGCGCGGACTTAGGGTCCCCTGGGCCCACGGCTGCTGGCTGCGGCCCCTCTGTCACTTCTCATCATCCTGTCACTGCCACGGGGTGACTGGCGCTGGTGTCCATCTTTTTTGAGTTGTGGCGGAACATCCAAATCACAGAATTCATCGTTTTCTCCGTCTCCAAGCGTCCCAGTTGGGGCGCTGGTCACACTCACACCGTGGTGCCGCCACCCTCCGCTCCAGGACTCTGCCATCATCCCAGCCCGAACCTCTGTCCCCACGAACCACTCACACTGTGCCCCCGCCCCCAGCCACCACCATCTCCTCCCTCCCTCCTCCCTCTCCTCTCCTCTCCTCTCCTCTCCTCTCCTCTCCTCTCCTCTCTTTCCTTTTCTTTTCCTTTTACATTTTTTACACCCAGGTCCATGCCCGCCACTTTCTGTCCCTGCGGTCACTGCTCCCCCAGGGGCCTCGGGGAAGTGGGGTTGCTCCCCGACTGTGTCTGCCCCTTCGTGTCTGGCTTCTTTCGCCACTGCCTAGAGGGACGCCTATTTCAAGGGCAAACGCTAGAATGAGTCACCGTTCAGGGGGCCTGCAGATGACACAGTGGCACCAGGAGACTAATGGTGGGAAACCCCGGGGCCTGGAGAGCCCAAGACGCACTGAGGGTGGGCGGGGTCGAGTGTAAGCCCCTCCCCCAAGGACAAGCCCGTGTCACTGGGCTCCTGGGAGACTTTGGACTCCCTGGGCCCTTGGCCACCGCCTGATGGTCAGGGGTGGCTCCGTCTGTGGGCTGGTCCCCCACACGGTGCCCTGGCCCCCTGCCAAGCCTACCGCTGCCATCTTCTGACCCCTGTCCGAATGGGCAGGGCCCGAGCAAAGGCGCCCAGAGACTTTGGACCGCTGCTGACCCGGCCACGGCCACGGAGCCACTGGGAAGCAGCGGCTGGCTGACCCACATCCCAAGGATCTGGGTCAGTGGGGGTCATGCTCAGGGCCGGGCCCCATACATGTGAGTGCGGTGGTTCTTCATGCTTCTCCGGCTGCGTCTCAGCCCCTTTCTCAGGATGGGAAACCGAGGCACAGAGCGGGAGCGCCTGCCCCGGACACCCAGCGCCCAGCGGCAGAGGGCTGAGGCCCCCAGCCCCCAATTCACACGGCCTGGCACCCCGCCCCCGCTCTGGCCCTCCCTTGGCCTCTCCTACCAGCCCCTGCACACCCCAGCCCGGCCAGCTCTCTGGAGTGAGGCCACGGTGACCGAGGCCCCAGCCAGCCCAGGATGCTGCCCTTTCACCCTCAGTTATTTTTGGGGGTCGCGGCCTCGCCAGAGGCCACCGGGAGGGGCACCAGCGCACCCGCAGCTCTGTCCCCCCGCCAGTGATGTCACACAGCACGTCACTCCTTCTCATCTTTCACGGACCATGGGTTCGCCGGGCTCAGCTCGGTGGTCCGCACGCTGGTCTCTTGCACCCTGGTGGTCAGTGGCGTCCGAGCTGAAGGCCCCTTAAACACTCGCTCCTGGGAGCCGTCCTCGGCATCGCCTCCTCCGGTCACCGCCACACCGGCAGCAGCGGGGAGTTTGCTGGCAGCAGCCCGAGCTCCGGCTCCGTGTGTCCCTGGGGACCCCGCAAAGCCTTTCTTCCCCGAGGGGCCATCAGCCTCGTTTCTGCCGCCCCCGCCCGGGAGGCCGTGCTCCCATCCCAGCTGACTTCTCACACGCTCTGCACAAACACGGCTATTTCACGCTTCTCTGCCCTCACCCACGGTGTTCTTTCTGCCCGGACGGCGCCCCTCTCCGAGCCTGGTGGGTCCCCCGCACCTCCCCACGCAGGGCTCCAGAGCCTGGGCACCGCAATGCGGTTTGCAAGCCTGTGGCGCACCCTCTCTCCACATTGCTAACCCCAGCGACTGCCCAGCATCTGCTGGCGCACTCCCGGTGGCTCCCGGGGGGGGGTCCCGTCTCCATTCTCGGGGGGAGGGTTCCATCCCCGTTCCGCCAGCACCGGCTCACCTGCTCCCAATCTGCTCCCCAACGCCGAGTCCTTGGGTCAGAAACGGCCCACTTCCCACGGCCTGGCTGTGGGCGGTCGTCTCAGACGCACGGGCTCTGAACCCTGGAGTGGCGGGGCCTGCAGCCGGCTCACCAACATGAGGGGGTGCTCCAGGTTGGCCCAGGCGGGTGGCTGGGAGGGTCAGCGCTGGCACATGGAAAATGCCAGCAACACCCGGCCCGAAAGAACCTCTCAATAGAGCGACTTGTTTTCAACCTTTTCCAGTAGTTTATTATTTCCAAAGAGTGCGGCTGTGATTGTGTTTGCACCCACAGAAGAGTGCATCTGGAGGGAAAGGCACCGGCAAGGAGTCAGGGGCGCCTGGAGGGAGAGCCCTGAATGGCAAGATTACGGGCCAAACTCCGGGCGTAAGTGCGCGCTGGCGACGGGACAGGAGGGAGGGTCGTTTCTCCAGACTGTCTGGAGGTCTGGAAGCCCCCCAAGAGCCAGTCCGCTCAGCACGGGATGGGAGGCCCCTCGCTGTGGCCGCAGAACCGAGGTGTGGGACGCTGGAAGGGGCCTCGCTCCCCCCCAAAACCAAAGACGTCAGGTAAACTACAGAATCGCAATGTGTCTCGAACCCATCAGAGAGCTGGGGTCGCAGGGCAGCCAAGCCACCTGGATGCCACGGAAAGGCAGGCCCCTCGGAGGAGAGCTAAGCTGACACTGAGGGGGGAGGAGACAGGAGCCAGCCCAGCAGGCGATAAGCATCCCGCTGCTGTCTCTTAACAAACCCTCAACAGCTGGAGGGGGGGCTGGCAGGACAGGAGAGGGTCCCCGGGAGCAGCGTGGTCATGAGTGGACTTGGGAGCCTGGAGAGAGCCTCCCTGGGGGTGGGAGGGGGCGGTGCCCAGGGAAGGCTAGAAGCCCCTCCTCCAGAAGAAGCAGAAAGGAGGAGAGGGGGGAAGGGGGGGAGGAAGGGTGGGGAGGAAAGGACCTTCAGCTGCTGGGGCAGGTGTGGCCCATGCTGGTGTCTCGAGGCCTCAGTAGGGGGCCGTGTAAGAAAAAGCTCTTCCCCCAAGGTCCTCTTGGAGCAGGGGTCCCGGGGACGGGACGTGCTGGTCCCCAGGGGACATTCTCAATGTCACCACACGAGCAGGGGTGTGCTGTGGACCTTGGGTGGGCGGAGTCCGGAGAGGCTGCTGGGCGTCCCTCAAAGCCCAGGAGGTCCACGGCAGAGAGTGGCCCCGCCCCGGTGGTGGCGGTGGGGAGGCGCCGAGAAACCCCACGGCACAGGTCTGCGGGGTGCGGACGGGCTGGGACTCTGCCCCGAGTGGGACCTGCCACCGACCCAGGCAGGGTGGTGCCACGGGAGGGGGAGACACAGGCCCCCGAAAAGGCCACACCCTGAGACCCAGGCACCCGACGTGCCTGAGATGCAGTCTGGACGGGGGAGGGAGCAAGTGTGAGAGAGCCATGCACACATACACACACACACACACACACACACGCACATGCACACACATGCTCACACACTCGTGCACACACACCACATGCATGCACTGCTGGCCCAGCAGAAGAGGCATGCCCACTCCCAGCCGTGGGTACTATTTATCTCACGCTTACTGCTCCACACAGGTGCCCAGCATTTATTTGACGAGAAATTCTGAGACATACAAAGAAATCATTTTAAAAAATCCCACTGTCGCCCTGGCTGCTGTGGCTCAGCGGACTGAGCCCCGGCCTTTGAACCGAAGGGTTGCCGGTTCGAGTCCCAGTCAGGGCACAGGCCTGGGTTGCGGGCCGGGTCCCATAATTCTCCTGGGAAACATATTTCTCAGACGTGAAATTGCTGTGTGAAAAGATACACGTGCTTTTTTTCATATATAGCCATACTTTTTATTGTGTATTTTATTTTCCCGTTACCCTTTATCCCCCTTGCGCCCCCCACATGCTTTCTAAGGCTTCTGAACAGCGCGCCGCACTGCCCCGGGCGAGGGTCTCCTAACGCTCGCCGAGCCGGGGCACGGGCTCGGGGGCGCCGCGCGCCTTCCCTCCCGTCCTCGGCAGCCGCAGGCGGCGAGGCGCTCCTCTCGTCCCCCGCCAGTGTGATGCCTGCAGCCAGCGCCCCCCCCACCCCCACGCTCGCAGCGGCTCCCGCTGCAAACAGCTCTCCTGGACGTGCTCCTGGCCCGAGCCCGGCCTGCGGCCGCCCGCGGCTCTGCCTCCGGGCGAGAAACAGCCGCGGGGAGCCCGGGCCGGTGACGTCAGCGCGCCGCGTCCCAGCATGCCTTGCGCACGCACGGGGTGGATGATGAAGGCGGACAAAGGATCCTGGGACTTTCCCCCGGGTGCCGCGCCTGGGTCACGGCGGGTGGCAGGTGTGGAGCCGGGCAGGTGAGGCTGAGTCATGCGGGGCCGCTGGGCGTGGCTTCTTGGACGGGCCCCAGAGTTGACAGGAAGGTTCCAGTAACCGGTGGCTGAGCCTGAGCTGGGCTAATTGCTGCGGCTGCTGCCCTGGCCCAGCCCTGCACGTCCCAGCAGGGGGGAGGGGACGGGGCAGGGGCAGGGGAGGGGGACAGGCCCCCAGGAGACGGCCCTCTGCCGATCTCCGGAACGGAAGCCCCCTCCCCACCCCCCCCAAGGCTCCGAGGAGCCCCCGGGAATCCAATCAAAGGGGACCGTCGCCCCAGGCACATCTGTCTGTCTGTCCGTCTGTGTGGGGGCGGGGCGGGGCGGGGGGCACTTCTCAAAGGCACCACCAGTGATGAGTCCCAGACGCTGGGCGGCAGGGGGCCCTGGCGCTGCTCGCTGAGCAGAGCCCCGCGCGGCAGGGGCGGCGGTGGGGCTGAGCCGCCAGGGTTCGAGTCCAGGCGTCCGCACGGACCAGCCCTGAGACCCGAGCTGCTTCCTGCACTCTGCAGAGCCCCGTCCCCTTGTCCCAGAGGTGAGCGGCCTCATGGGGAGGTTTGCACGGACATCTTCAGGACGTCCCCGGCTCCGGCGAGTCTCCCTGCCCCCTCCGTGACCTCTGCCCTCCCGGCGGCCCCCTGCACGGCAGACACGCGCAGAACGCTCTCAGAGGGAACTGGCGAATGATGCGCGGTCCCTGGCCTGGCACATTGCTTGGCACCGAGCAGGGGCTCCGTGCGGGGCCTGCTGTGTGGCTTTGAGCACGTCCCCGCCTCCTCTGAGCCTCCGTTTGCTCACCTATAAAATGGGCTCCTTCGTCGGCCCACTGGTGGTCTGACCCACAGCCCACGGGTGGACGGTTAAGGGGCTGACTGCGGGTCTGCCCTCCCCGCACACAGACGGGGAAGGGAAGACACGCAGGAAGGGCCCTGGCCCGGGTGCCCAGCCTCTGCCGAGGACGGCGGCGGCTGGATGGGACCGGGCTGTGGGCGGGCGGGCGGTGGCCTCGGGGTCCACCAGGAGGCTGCCACGCTGCGGCAGCTCGTGAGTGCCTGTGGTGGCCCCGCACTGCAGGGGGCCACCGGGGAGTCCGGCAGGGCCCGGTGGCGGGGGCTCTGGCCCCGTCCCAGCCCTCCCTGAAGACCGGGCTCCAGGTCTGCGCATTTCTGAAGAGAAGCCAAAGATCCAAGTCATTCTCTGAGACTTTTACTGACGTTTAAGACGTCGGCACCGACCGTCCCTGCTTTGGTGGCTGCCCAGGTTCCTGCAGAAGAAGGTGTTGGGGGAGGTGGACTCCGTGAGCTCTGAAAGGCCAGCAGCCAGAGACAGGAGGGCTGGCCCACGGGGGTCAGGGGGTGACCTGGGCCCTCACTCAGGACACGCTCGGAGGGCCCCGGGCCTGGTGTGCGTTCCGGAGTTTTCATTTCTCACAAGGGCCCACATTTTCATGTTGCACCAGGTCCTGGCGGGAGGGGCGGCCAGGACACGGCCCCTGGGAGGGGATGAGCAGATCAGTAAAGGCCAGGGGGCCTGGGGCCAGGCTGTGTGTGTGAGTGTGCACTGTGTGGGTGAGCGTGAGTGTGTGTGTGCGTGAGTCTGCGTGACTGCAGTGTGTGACTGTGAAGTGTGAGGGGTGTGTGTGCGTGTGTGCACAGGGAGAGGTGGTAGCCGGCTGTTTAACAAATATTTGCTGAGTGCTCGCTCCGGGCCAGGTGCTGGGCGAGGGACGGGGGTGAGTGAGCCCCGTGCGGGCCCAGCACCGCAGACAGCTGGTCAGGGAGAGAGCCGGGTGGACAGGTCACTGGAATAAGAGGACAGGTTGAAATAAGCCCCTCACAAAATACAACCACCCTGCCCACCTCACCCGGGAGACAGAGCAGGTGAAGCCAGTTTCCTGGAATTGGGTGGAGGGCTGGGTGGGGGGGAGCGGATCTCCGGGAACTGTCCCGGGAGGCTGGAGCGGGCACACCCAAACCCGGGCAGGGCGACCTCCCGGAGGCCTGCCCAGCAGCACCCGATTCCAGAGAAGCAGATAAGAGGTGACCAGCTGCTCCAGGCAGAACCGAAACAGCTCGGCCACACCCAGGGAGAGGCCGTCCCCGCGGAGGGGGGCCCCCGAGCCTGTGTGAACTCCTGAGCTGGTGGCAGTTGAGCCGGGGGTGGCCGACGCCCAGCAGAGCGAGCACCCGGGACGGGGTGAGAAAAGCCAGCCCACAAGCGGGTGCCGGCTCGGCAGGGTCCCGCAGAGCACCGCTGAGCAGAGACACCTCAGGCAGGAGCACGTGCCCCTGGGGGGGCCAAGGACTGTCCCCCGCCACCCCCCCCCCGGTGATGCCCAGGGGCCTCGGGTCCCCTCCCGGAGCCCCGGCAAGGTGCTGCCCCTGTCTGCCCACCTGGAGGCAGGAGTCCTGGGCGCCAGTCCCCTCTTCACCTGCCTGGTGACCTTGGACCGGCCCCACCGGGGACGTGGGTCCCCCGTCTCCTCCAGGGCTGCGGTGTGGACCGAGGCGATAACAGGGCGAGGAGAGCAGCTCGTAAACTGCAACAGGACGAAGGTCGGCGGGGAGCAGGGTGGTGCCTCCCTCCGGCCGATCGCCCAGGCCCCGGCCCTCCTTCCCACACACAGGCCCAGTGGCCTCGTGCCGGCACCCTTAGAGCAGACGCCTGGGGACAGGGCCTGGCTGGCGCGGCAGCAGGGGTGTCTGGGGCAAAGCCCACACCCTCGCCCATCACCTCCGAGGCCAGTCACACGCTCCAGAGGGTCACGCCTCCCCGACGGCCGCAGGCGGCCGCTCTGAGCCCTCGCACAGCCCCCTGCTCCGTCCGGCGGCTCCCCTTTCTGCGGAGCGAGCCCGGCCCACATGGCACACTCGTGGTCTCCTAAGAGCCTGTCCCACACCCCTGCAGCCAGCGGTCTGGCGTTTCTGAGACGACTGAGTGGCATTTCAAACTTCCGGAACCCGACCACACAAACCTCTGGAACTTCCCACAGGCAGCGGCTCCTCAGAGGGGACCTACTGCCGGGAAGGACCCGGTGCACAGCCTGGGGGCCCTGTACCGCTGCTCCGGGACCTGCTGAGCGTGAGGTCCCGGGGGCTGAGCCCTGGAGCCGTCCCCAGGGAGCTGCAGGAGCACGAGGCTCGGCCCGTGTGGCCTTGGCAGGCCCCGGGCCTCCCCTCCCACGTCCGAGAAGTGGGCGCAATACAGCCCCCTCGTTGCGTCTCGGGAGGACCACCGAGGGGCCCACTGCCTGGAACACTCGAGGCTTCCCAACGGCCGGCACCTCCTGTCCCTCCTCCTCCTGCTGGAGTCTCCTCTGCCTGTGCTTGCTTTTCCCGCACGGGACCCTCACTCCGACTCCACGCATCAGACAACAGGAACAGGCTGTGTCTCGGGCACTCAGCCCCCGGCCGGCGCGGCCAGAGTGCAGACGCGCCTCGTCCACGGGCCGGACACACACGCTGGGCTGTCACGGACGTTGGCCCGAGCCCTGCCCCACCACGAGCTCTGTGCCCTGACAGCCCCGCTCGGCCCGCAGGAGTCACGCCCCTGCCAGCGTGAAGCTGCGTAGCCCCCTCAGTCAAGGGCAGGGTCCCCTCTCCTCTGCTCCCAGCCCCCGCCAGGGTGTTCCTAGCCCCGCCCCACGGCTCCAGGATCCCCACCCTCCACGCCCGCCTCCGCCCCTCCTCTGAGCTGCAGGCCGACCCACAGACCTCAGTCCGCCGCCCTGCCCACGCCCTGGCCTTATCCGATCCAGGGAGCTAAGACAAAGGTTACAAACAGCCCAGGAGGCACTTTATTGGAGGTAGATCTCTGCCTCCGCTCGGGGGGGAAGGAGCCGGAGCCCCGCCCTGAGCGTCCAGCACCCTCGCCCCCCGCTGGCCTGGTCCAGGGCTGGGAATGGTCAGGGGAACGTCCTAGAAAAAATAGATCTCTATGTACATCTGCCGTCTTTGTGGCACATAAGTTAGGGGGCGCTCTGGCCCCCGCCCGCGGAGCCCAGGCTTCGGTGGGGGCGGAAGCCAGTCCAGCAACGAGGCGCAGGGCCCTGTCCTCTCGCTCACGGCGCCCTGGGCCTCCCGGCCTCCGTCCAGGCCCCCAAGGGATGGCGGCGGCGCCCGCAGCAGGGTCTGCGCCGGGCGTCAGGAGGCGCCGGAGGAGCCCCGCGTGGAGTGTCGTCGGCGGGCCAGTCCCTTCGAACCCTGGGCTCGTAACTCCATGGGGAGGTGGCGGCAGAGGCCGCGGAGCCTCTGCTCCCCCCGCAGCCCAGCGGTCCTCGCTCGAGGGGCCGCCGGCCCCAAGCCCACGCGTCTGTCTCGGCCCCTCGGGCCCTCAGTTCCGACTCCCAGCCACCTCCTCCTCCTTCCAGCCGCTGGAGTTCCTGCCGAACTTGTAGACCAGCCGCCGGCCGTCCACCCGCTCCAGGATCTCCCGCTTGTAGTAGTACCTGAGGGGGGGCGGGGTCAGAGGGGTCAGGGGGGCCGCAGGCGGCCGTGCCCCCCTGGGGTTCAGGCCCCACCCCCCTGAGCCTGGCCCGCTCTCTGGCCTGGAGCTGCCGCCTCCCAGGGACCGAGAGCCTCTCCTCTCCGAGTGTCAGGCTGCGGCCTGGGGCTTGTCCCGGGGCAACTGGACCTCAGGACGGGAAGGGACCCTAGTGACCATGAAGGGGAGACTGAGGCCAGGAGACAAGCTGCCTGACTCAGCAGGGGCAGCGGTGGGGCGTGCTAAGACGTGGGTCCTTGGCCGTGGACTGCCTTTGCTGGGACAGGCCTGGGGGCCACACGGGGGCATCGCTGGCCATTCCCTGGGACCCCCCCCCCCGGCCCTGGGGCAGGCCCGCAGCCCCCGCCAGGCCCTCACCTCATGGCCCGGCTGAGCTTCTCGTAGGTCATGCTGCTGTTCTTCTTCTTCTGGCCCCACAGCTGGGCCACGGCCTCCGAGCGCAGGAACTTGAACACGCCCTCCTGCCGGTCCTCCCACTTCATCAGGCCCTCGTTCCGCTCGGGGTGCAGGAGGATGTCCCGGATGAACTCCCACAGGTGCGTGCCCCTGGGGGCTGCGGGGCCGGGCCGTCAGCAGCGGCCAGGGCGCCCCGTGCCCCGGCGCCCCGCCCCCGCCCAGACAGCAGGCCCTGCCGCTCAGCACACGCCTGTGAACGCCGTGTGGGGGACCGGCTCCCGGCACAGACACGGGGTGCAGCGTGACTGCCGGTCGGTAGGGCCACGGTCAGAAGGCAGATGCACCAACCGCTGGTGACAGCCAGCACAGGGAGCCCGGAGCCGGCCGGATGGGGCCGTGCGGGAAGCACAGGCGTGGCTGGGCCTGCCCCCGCAGCCCCGGCCTCTCGGGGGTGACCCGCAGCACACAGCCGGCCCCCCACCCGCCCGTCCCCGGCCTCAGCCCAGGGCCCGGTGCCCACCGTGCTTGCTCTTCTTGCTGTCCAGGCTCTCCCGGGACTCCCGGCTGAGCTTCCGGGGCCGGCCCCGCTTGCGCTTCCCGTGCTTGGGGTCCCCCTTCCTGTAGTCAGGGAAGCCGTCTGTGCGGCACGGAGGGGAGGGTCAGGAGGGAGAGGAGTGGGGTGGGGGAAGGGCAGCGCCCCTGTGGTGACACCCCCCCCCACTCACCCCTGGAGAAGAGCTTGCTGTCGGGGGGGTCGAGGTCCACGTCGCTTCCCCCGGAGTCCGAGCAGGGGGAGCTCTGAGAAGCACCCGTGCCTAGGGGAGTGGGTCTCGGTGAGTCCCCCGCAGCCCCCGGCTGCCCACCACGGGCTGCTGGCCAGCTCCACTCCACCACCCCCCCGAGAGCCGGAGGCCAGGGCCCGGGGCGCTGGGGGTAGGCGGTGGGAAGGTGTGCCCTCACCTGCGGTGGAGACTTCCGAGCAGCCCGGGGACGGGGCCCCTGCCCCGTAGCTGCCCGGGGTGTAGGGGCTGGGCTGCTGCCGGCCCTCGGGCGTCTCCTGGCTGAAGGGGCTGCCCTGGTCTGGAAGAGGAGGCAAGCATTCAGACTGGGCGGGGACGGGACGGCCACCCAGACGTGGGACGGAGGACCTGCAGACCTCTCTAGCTGGGGCGACAGACGGGGCAGGGGGGCCGCGAGAACTCGGGTGCTCACCGAAGGGGCCGGGGTCCCCCAGGCTCTCCTGGAAGGGCGTGCTGTCCTGCTCCAGCAGGTCGATGATCCAGCTGAGTTCGTCGGAGAAGCTGGTGGCTGAGGAGGGAACAAGGAGTCCGTCGGTGCCCTGCTGCCTAGCCCTCCCCGCCCTGGCTCTCGGGGGCTCCAGTCCCTCCCACTACCTCGCCGGTCCCGGACAGTGGGGCGAGCCAGGGCCCAGGGGCGCACTCACTGAGGTCCCACAGCTGGGCGTAGAGCTGGTCCCCCAGGGGCCCGAAGACCAGCCGCAGCTCCTCGGGGGCGCAGCTGCAGAGCGCCGCGCCATCCATGTCGCAGCGCGAGAAGTCGATGGTGCTGGCGTCGAACTTGTTCTTCTCCACCTGGTAGCTGATCCAGTCCAGAACCTGGGCCTTGGACCAGAACTGGGGCTGCTCCCGGGACCAGCTGGCCTTCTCTGGAAGGGGCCCGGCACAGCGGGGTCAGCCGGCCGCAGCCGGCCCTCCGGGACCAGGCTCCCTGCCCCGCGCCCCAAGTCCAGCCCCTCGACCTCCCAGTGGGAGTCCCCACTGGGCCCGGACCCCCCCTCCTGCCCAACCCCCCGGCTCCCTGGCCTCCTAGATGCCCCTTCCCTGCCGCCACTCCCCAGGAGACCCACCAGGGCCCTCCGGTGGCATCTGGGCATTGCTCAGGGACAACACGAGGTCGTCGGCCCCAAAGGAGGAGGCGGCGGCGGGGACGGGGGCCAGCGCAGGCTCCTCGGGGCTGTACATGGTGCTGAAGTAGTTGCTGAACACGTTGCTGATCTCGTAGGTCGCGGCCATGGGGCTACCTGCAGGGAGAGGGGCCGATGGAGGGCCAGCCGGCAGGCACTCGCCCAAAGCCACTCTGCTCCTGAGGCAGGCGGGCAGGCGGGCGGGCGGGCGGGCGGGTGTGCCCGGGGCACAGAGCTCTCCCCGTCTCCAGACTCCCCGCCTTTGAGACCGACCGTGTCCTCAGAACCCCGGGGGCACCCCTGGCCTCCTGCTGGGCTCTCTGCTCCGTCACCTGGGCCCTTGCGTGGGGCTGGCTGAGGCTCGGCCCCCCTGGCCCTCCCAGGGACGGTCCTCGGCTCTCGGACCCTCCGGGCACCCCCATCGCCACACACCCCGAGGGACACTTCAGAACAGCAGCCCCCGCTGCTGCAGCCCGGGCCGAGGCGCACGGCGGGGCGGCGGGGGCGGGGGTGCCTACCCAAGTGGCGGCGCGGGTGTGGCAGTCGAACCGGCAGGATTAAGGGGCAGCGGGCGCCAGAAACCCGGGCGGCGAAGCTCTGCCTCGCCCGCGCGCGCGCCCGCCCTAAATAGGCCCCGGAGCTCCTCCCGTTAGGCCTTTATAGCCGGAACCTGAGCTGGCGGCTCATTGGACGGAGGGGATTTCCTGGCCTTCAGACTGGCTCCCAGGCCCAGGTGATTTGCATATTTTGTGCCACTTGGCCCGGGTCCTACCTGGGGTGCTGGGAAATCAGGCCCAGCTGGTTTAATGATTGTCAGATGGTCCTCCCGCACCCTCTGGGGCCGGGCACCTGGCGCTGGCCGGGGCAGGCAGCGGGAGGGCCTCTGGGCGGACAGGTCCTGTGCTTCCCACCACCCGCGGGCTCAGAAAATTCCTCCCGGGGGTGGGGGCAGGTCAGGGAGGGGCCAGCGCGGGGGAGGGTGCTGGGGGGGCGAGCATCTGGAGATCTGGGGACCAGGGGGCCTGGCGGGGAGCAGACCCCGCATGCAGCCCGGGCGTCTGGGATCCTGGCTGGAGGGCTCTCCCCACAGCAACGCCCACGGGGCCTGGTCCCCCTGGCCCCCTGGTCCCCCAGGTCCCCAAGTACTCAGCCTTAGTCCCGGCCGGCTGGCACCTGCTGGGGTGGCAACGTCTTGGCATTCCCTGCCTGTGGGACCTCATCCAAGCGCCAGGGTTGCCGGAGGGCCTCTGGACAGACCGGGCTCCCCACAGTACGCCCTGCCCGCCCAGGCGCTGGTGGCGTGGAAACCCACAGGCTGTGTCTGCCCCTCCATGTGGTCCGCCTGGTCCACCTGGTCTGCCAGCCCTTCTCCGCTCACCGCCGCTCACCTGCGCCCCCCAGTGGTCAGAGCCCAGCTGCCTCCCAGCAAAGGGGGAGGCCCGGTGCCCACCTCCCATCCTCCACACCCGTGACCCCCGGCGAAGCCCTGCACACAGGCTCGGGACCCCCACTCTGGTGACGAGACACGGCAGCTCGGAGCCCAGGCCCCACGGGGCTCGGTGAGTGGGGGCGGGGGTTGGGATTTACAGCCACTGACCACCCTGCACCTGAGTGATGTCCTCAGGACTGGGGGCCTCTCTAGGGACTCAGCCCCAAACACAGACCCTGGGGGGGGGTTAGGGGGAGGGACGGAGACAGGAGGCCCATGCTCTGGTCTCTCCCCAACTGTGTGGTTCTGCACCTCAGTTTCCCCACCTGTACAAGCCAGGACGTCGGACTAAACCACCCCCAGCCCCAGAGGGCTCTTCCAGACCCGAGTCCTCCTGCACTGGGGTGGAGGCCAGGCACACTGGTCTCCCCACCTCCTCGGTCAGGGCTCCGGCCCCGGGCGGCTCGCGGCCAAGGGCAGCCTCTGGCAGCGAAGTTACTGGGAGGGAAGGTGACCCCACCTCCACCCCCAGAGCCACCCCCTCTAACTCTGCAGCCGAGGACAGGGAGTCCGGCCCAGGGGACCTGCTTCTCACCCTCCCTGGGGGGGAAGCTGTGGGTGCCCAGGGGCGGGGCAGAGTCCACTGCCCCCACGGGCTCCGGGTTTTCCCAGCCCCGCGGGGCCTCCCCCACGGAGCCCGCCCGGGGGCCCGGCACACCCTCCGCCGAGTCACTCAGCCTGGAATGCGGGAGAACCGGCTCCCAGGCCCGGCTGCTCACGTGCTCCGCGCAGGGAGGGCGGAAGGATGGAGGGAAGGAGAGCAGCGCGTGGGCGCCCTTGCCTTCAAGGGGCTTCGCGGGAGAATCGGGCCGCAGGGAGGGGCTGGATGGGCTGGCTCCCGGCCTCCAGGCACCGGTGCCTCGCCAGCCCGTGTCCCGCAGCTGCGTGGGAGACGCAGGCTGGAGGGCGGTCAGTGCCTCGCAGGGCAGGGCAGGGCAGGGCAGGGCAGGGGGAGAAGCTCCCAGGACAGAGGCCAGAGGCCAGAGGAGCTGTGGGGCAGGGGCTGCACAGGACGTCTCCTTCTGGGGACAGGGACTGTTTGGAGCACGGTCCCCGCCCTGACGGGGCAGGCACAGCCAGAGGACCGGGGCCGCCGGCCTGCTGGGGGCAGGAGACACCTCCCGGACGCCCCGCTGGGACTGCAGACACAGGGACTCCGCACTGCCCTCCGAGGAAGAGCTTCCGTGACCGTGGGGCTCTCCGATACCAGAGGGTTCGCACCAGCGAGGAGCCACCCTCAAGGGTCAACGGGCGGGACCCCAGTTGGGGGAGCAGGGAGGAGCCCACCCGCTGCTGCTCACCGCCCCGAGGAGGCCCAGGCCCCTTGCTTCCGGCGAGTCTGCGTGCGGGGCAGAGGCGCCTGCCAGCCTGTGACGTCACATGGCCGCACGACTCGCTCGCGTTTGCTCGGAGTGAGAACAAGTGTGTTGGGCTGGGCTGTGCCTGCCCCTGGCAGGCGGGCCCGTGCAGGTGGCCGGGGCCGGGGCCAGCTCCACAGCAGGGGACAGTGTGGGCGCAGGCCCAGGGCGCCCCGTGCATGAGAAAGGCGACCTACGTGTACTTAGGTATGTTTTGTAAAATATATTTCATTGGCCCTGGCTGGTGGGGCTCACTGGTTGAGCGTGGGCCTGCGAGCCAAAGGGTCGCTGGTTTGATTCCCAGTTGGAGCACAAGCCTGGGTTGCAGGCCAGGTCCCCAGCAGGGGGCGTGCAAGAGGCAACCACCTGCCTCTTGCAGGTGGAGGTGTTTCTCTCCCTTTCTCCACCCTTCCCCTCTAAGAAATGAATACAACCTTTAAAAACACATAACTGTATGCTTTAGTGGTCACACTACTCCAGCTGTCCCGATGTTTCCCCGCAGAGGACTTGTGAGCGGCACAGACCCCCCTCACGGAGGCCAGGGCGTGCCTGGGAGCCGCGCTGTGAGTGGTGTCCCAGTTTGGGGGCAGGCGAGGCCCCGGGGCCTGGGGGAAGGCCCCAGCGAGCTGGACAGAACACACCCACACTCCGCCCTGGGGAGGACGAGGGGGGGGACGGCGCCGGTGGGGCAGGCCCGTGCACACTTCTCCCCGAGCGTGGCTGCCCCACCGTGGGGCCCGCGCCCCCCGCAGCCAGGAGTGCCCGAAGGGCAGGGCACACGCGTGCTCTGGGTGCCCGTGACTGTCTCAGCACACGTGCGCGGGGGCCACCTGGGGGAGGAAGCCCGCCACTCAGCCCACAAGTCACTCCTTTCAGGTAAAAAGATTTATTAAAACAGACGAGACCTGAGGAGAGAACCACCCAAGTGAGCGCAGCCGCTGGCGCCGCCCTTCAGGACTCAGCCGGGAAAGCCGAAGGACCCCGCATCCCTCCAACCAACGCCCGGGTGGGGGGCAGGGCGGCCCTGCCCCACGGAACCAGGGCTGAGGGCTGGGGTGGGGTCCCCTGCTCTGGGTGGCCCAGAGGGCTCCCGGGAGCCGCAGACACCACGTGGGGGACAGACCCCTGAGGGACGCAAGCTTGGGGAGCGGAGCGGGGCGCCGGCATGCGGCCGAGCACCCCGAGAGCCTGTGCCAAGTGGAGGGGCAGAGGCCAGGCCGTGGGCGGGCCCCTAGCTGCCCGTGGGCGCCAGGATCTGCTGGACGTAGCGGACCACGTTGCTGTGCAGCTGGGCGGTGGTGGCCGTGAAGGTCTCCTCTGCAAGGGCCCGGGCCGCCGGGCTGCCGGCCACCATCGCGCGGTACAGCGGGAGAGTGTACTTCTGCTTCCCCTGCAAGAGACAGGCATGGCCCCTGCAGCCCACCGGGGTGCGTGCAGCCCTCGCCCGGGACCGTCCCGGGGCGGTGGGCCGGTGCCCGGAGTCCCCCCCCAGAGGTGCCAGTGCTGCCCCGGCCCAGGGCAGGACAGGGCACTCGCCCAACGAAACAGGTGGCTCCAGCCGCTCACAAAGCCACCAGGGCTGGCCACCAGGTATCCGCAGAGGCGCAGCCAAGCACACGGAGACCCAACTGCCACTACGCAGAAGCCAGCCCAGGCCCCCGACATGCACCCACACGAGTCCCCCGCTCCCCGAAACCCAGAGGCTTGGCAGAGCCTCCGCGGGCTGGGACCTCACGCTGGGGTGCTGGCCCGTCCCCGGCAGGGCAGCGCCCGGGGGCGACCGGAGACACAGTGGCCGTCAGACCCTCTCCAGGGCACAGCCCCCCCGGGGAGCGGGCTCCATGACCGCACGGTCACTGCGTCTCGCCCTCTGGCCGCACTCCGAGGCCAGCACCCACGTCACCCCTTCCCCAGTTCGGGGTGAGCTCCAGCTGGCCGCCCCGCCCAGGGCAGCGTGGCCACACTTCCCCGGCCCTGTGCTCCGGAGACGGGTGCGAGGCCCCGCTCACCCTCACCCGCACGCAGGACCCCGGGCGGGGCCCGGGGATGGAGCGGGGGCCACCCACCTGGCTCTGCAGGAAGCTCTTCACCTTCGCGAAGTCCTCCCGGTAGTCGTTCTTCAGGACGATCTGGCCCCAGCGCAGCCGCAGCTCCGCGTTGCTGGCGCCCGAGATCTTCGGGTACGTCTCCCCCAGCGTCTTCACGTTCCCTGGGGGAGGAGGGGTGGCCGTCGGGCTCACTGGCTCCCCATTTCCCGAGGACAGCGGACGCCCACTGCCTGCTCCCTGCCTGCAGCTCGGCGGCGACTGGGCGTCCGTGCCCCAAGCAGTGGCCCCCCCCCCCCGCCTGGGGCAGAGACGGCTGTCGGCCAGGGTGCCGGCCGAGCCCGAGTCTCTGCGGCCTCTCCCACGCCTCCCCCACCAGGCGTGTCAGCTCGGCCTCTCTGACGGCCACCTGTCCGCGCCCGGGGACCAGAGTGAGGGCGCCAGCCCCCCAGAGCACGAGGACGAGTGGGTCGGCAGGCGCGCCAGCAGGGAACAGCCAGCAGGGCCTGCCGCCTAGGCGCACGCCGGCTCGAGACCCCGCCCCCCGGGGTGCCGTGTCCCCCAGCCGCCCTCCCGGACCCCCGGCTGTTCCCCAGGGCAAGAGTCCCCGCCTCTTTCCCCGCCCCCCGCCCCCCGCAGAGCCGCGCACCCGGGCCCGCCCGCGCCGTCTCACCGGGCGGCAGAGGGGACTTCTGCACGAGCTTGTCCAGGAAGTGCACCAGCTGGTAGGTCTTCCAGGCGGAGACGTCCACAGCCCCGATGGCCTCCATGTCCAGCTCCTCGGCCGCCCACAGCTGGGCCAGCTCGTCCGCCGGCTTCATGAGCGTGTCCCCGGCGGACAGGTCCGGGAGGTACGGGGGCCAGCCCGGGGTGTCCAGCCACCGGTCGAACTCGAACCCTGGAGGCGAGACCCGGTGGGAACCTCAGCGTCGCACCCGGCACACTTCCCCGCCGGCCCCCCACGGCCCCCCACGGCCCCGCCCCCAGCGCCGCGCACCCCGGTGCCCTTTGCTGACGGCGGGGTCAGAGGGCGGTCAGAGGGCAGTGCCCGGTGTGAGCCTGGGGTCCAGGTTCAAGGACGACCAGGAGGGGGGAGGCGGCGGCGGCGGCGGCGGCGCTGGGTGGCCGGGAGCCTGGGCCCTGGGTCTGCTCCCGAGAGCCGCTTCCGAGAGGTCACGACCCCCCGCGGCCCCTCCAGCCCGGGGCCCGCCCCTCTGCTCACCGGGCGTGGAGGCCACGCCCCTCTGCCTCAGCTCGGGGAAGTACTCCAGGTAGAAGTCCAGCAGGTCGTCCGCCAAGATGCTCTGGAACTTGAACTCGTCCACGTAGGCCTGTGCGGAGGGAGGTCTTCTCAGCCCCGCGCCCCCGCCCCCGCGCCAGCCCCCACCTGTGCTCGCCCCTGCCCCGCCCCGCCCCGCCCCCGCTGGGCGGCCCATACCTTGAGAAAGGCATCAAACCGATCCTGGTCGCCCACCAGGTGGGCCAGGTAGGAGACGAAGCAGAAGCCTTTCTCGTAGGGGGTCTCGTTGTAGGTGTCGTCCGGGTCCACCCCTGGCGGCCCAGCAGACGCCCGTCACCTCCACAGTGGCCCCGGCCCAGGCTCGCCGAGTAACCGGGCGGGGGGGTTCGGTGCGGCCGCCCCAGGGCTGCAGGCCGCACGCTGGGCCGGCCCTGGCCTCCCGCGGGGCCCCTCCCAGGGGACTGGGCAGGAGGGCCACGACGCCAGCCCTCCGGCTCCGCGCTGGGGACCAGGCACGGGCGCCGGCTCGGCCTCCCCAGCCTGTGCCCGCCAGCCCCCCGCCCGCCCTCCCAGGACGCCGGCCAGTCCCATCCACGGGATGTCCGCCCTCGCAGCCCGGGGCACCGAGGACCGTGAACCTCAGCTTCTGCAGAAGCTCCGGCGTCAGTCACCCGTGGAGCTGAGGGACTCGAACCCGAGCCATCGGCCGGCTCGGCGCTCACTCCCGCCCCCGCAAGGCGCGGCTGACGCCCAGTGCAGGAGCCCCGAGCGGCGGGCGTCCCCGAGGACACACACGGACACGCGCGCGCGCGCGGAGCCGGGCGGCGGGGCTCCGCCCCAGGGGGCGTCCTCCGGGCCCACCCGCCAACCGACCGCCGCCGCCTTGGGGGGCGGGGTGTCGCCCAGAGCGGCCTCCGCACCTGGCTCGATCTTCACGCGCAGCTTGTTGAGGGGGTTCTCCTCGCCGCTGACGTCCATGTGCTGGCGCAGCAGCGCCCGCCCCGCGGCCGCCTCCAGGCAGGTGTAGGCAGGCCCTGGGCAGAGGGAAACCGGAGGCCCGAGAACGGTCGGCACCTCGGGGCCGCGGTCCCGGCAGCGGCGCCCCCTGGTGGCCACCAGAGGAAGGACGACAGGCACCGGAGCCCGGGCCGGCCCGCCGGGGAGCCCGGGACAGACCGGACCGGCCGCTGACCGTCCAGCTCCCCGCCGCTCTGGGCCCCCGCCCGCAGCTCGGGCCGGGGCCCCACCCCTGGTCCTCTGACGCGCACCTTCCCCTATCCGCGCATGTCATCCTCAGCGGCAGTAACTGGGTCGCCCGTGAGAACAGTCGTGTCACCTGACGGCTCCCGCCGCACAAGGGGAGCCGTCGCGGCAGACTTCTCCGCGGGTTCCAGCTCCGCTCCGCAGCTGGCAGGCCTGCCGCAGGGGCTGAGGGCCCAGCACAGAAAACCGTGCGGGGTCCCACCGGCCGTCTCCCGGCACAGAGCTTGGGCACCAATGTCTCCTCTGCTTTCCCGCACCCGCCCAAACAGACTCCGTCAGAGAAAGAGGAGAATGATGCCTGTTGTCTTTTACAGCGCCCGGTGCGTGGGGGTTTTCTGAAACGAGGCCGTGGGGGGAATGCGTTTCGACTGCCCTCGGGCGCAGTTCAGGAGCCCCCAGCGCCTGCTCCGGGGCAGGCGCAGCGTCCGCCTCCGAGTCAGAACGACCCCCCTCCCCGGCCACAACGGGCGGCTGCAACGCTGTTCCCCTCCGCGTGCCCCGTGCGGAGCGGCGGTGTGCGTGTGCGGCGGCTGGGACGGCGGCTGGGGCGGCGTGGGCTTCGCTCAGGAGTCGGACCAGCTCCCTGGTGCACGGCCTGGGGGCGTCCCCCCAGAGCAGCAGGTGTGGCTGCAGCCGCTCCTCCCTAGACCCCCTCCATGCACCCCTCGGACCCCACGGCTCCGGGAGGCCCCCCCGGGCGGCTCACCGAACAGGACGGTGGAGATCCTCCTCTGGGCGTACATGGTGAAGCCCTCGTTGAGCCAGAACTCGCTCCAGTTGGCGTTGGTGACCAGGTTCCCGAACCAGCTGTGCGAGATCTCGTGGATGATGACGTCCACCAGGGAGCGGTCCCCGGCCAGCAGGCAGGGCGTGACGAAGGTCAGGCACGGGTTCTCCATGCCCCCGAACGGGAAGGACGGCGGCATGAAGAGCACGTCGTACCTGGGGACAGCAGGGAGTCGCAGGCCTGCCGGGCAGACCCCGCCTTGCTCCCACCCCCCTCCCCCCTCCCCGCCCGGAAATGGGGACACTGGACAGGCAGCCAAGGACCCGGCCAGCCGGCGCTGAGAGGGTGCCGGGCTCCTCGGTCCTGGCGGACTCGCCGGCTCTCCCTTCCCAGGTTTGCTCCCCAAAACCTCTGTCCTCTGTTCTGCTTCCAAGCAGCACCAGTGGCCCCTGGTGTCACGGAGACCCAAGGGGGCCATTTCTCTAAGGGGCCTGTGGTCTGAAGATGCCGAAGGGGGCCTGGGGGCGGGGCGGGGGGGGGGCCCCCGCAGCTTGTGGCAGCCAGAGACGACCCGGCGAGGGTCCTGACCTCCGACCTCAGCGACCATGGGGCCGTTCCTGTGGCTTCGGTGACTGTCGCCAGGTCCCCTTCTCACCAGCGGGGAACCCGGCCTGGCTCAGGCCTCCCCCCACCCCCGGGATGGGGGGGCTCTGCTCCAGGGCACAGAGGGGGAGCCGCACGCCGCACCTTCCCCAGACGTAGGGTCCGAAAAGCTTCTCTCCCACGGCCAGGAACTCCTCGACCACGCCGTCGTACTCCTGCCTGGCGGCCTCGAGCAGGCACGGCTCGGCCCACACCCGGCTCCTGGGGATGGACGGGCGCACAGAGAACACCCACCTGGGTCTCGTGTTGGGGCCGGCCGGACGGCACAGTGCAGCCAGGGGACGGGAGGCTGGCCCCCGCCGGGGGACACGGAGGACAGCCGGGGGTTGGGTGCGGAGACGGGGCGGACTCTGGCTCCTGGGAGACACTGGCCAGGGGGCTGGAGGGGGACACGAGGCCGCGCCGGAGGCCGAGGAGGGCTCGGCGGTGGCGTGGGTCTGCGTCTCACCGAGGGGTACGCGGCGGGAGCGGGTCGGCCCGAGGGGAACGGCCCGAGGTGGGGGCCTCGGCAGACGCAGGCTCGGGCTTCGCACAGACCCGCATCCTTGCCGGGGTCCCCAGCAGAGAGGCCGGGCCGCCGCCGCCGCCGTCACCCGTCTGACAGGTGGCCAGTGCTCGGCCGAGAGGACTGGGGGGGGCAGCGACCCCAAGGCAGGCACAGCGCTGGGACTGGAGGGAGGGAGGCAGGGAGCAGCCGGAGCCCGGCCTCCAGCTGACGCGGGCACCCAGCGCCGCGCACGCACCCACAGTGCACCCGGCAGCGCCGGGCTCGGGGCCTCCGTCGTGCCGCGGGGCTCACGCCAACCCTGCCTGCGGGGCCTCGGCTCCTACCTGGGTCCCACCTCCGCGGAGGCCAGGTCCCCGACGGCCAGAGCGATGAGGTAGCAGGGGATGGGCCGGCTCATGCGGAAGAAGAACCGGTTCGGCCCCCGCGTCTCCCAGGTGTCCGCGCTCATCACGGCCGTGAAGCCATCCGGCACCTGGCGGCGGAGAGAGCGGAGGCGGCTTTGATGGCGGACCCGGCCGTTCCTGAGCTTGGAGGGCAGCAGGACCAGCGACCTGCCCGGACGGCAGTGACTCGGGTCCACCTGGGCCCCGGAGGCTGCAAAAATCCCAACCCGCGCCAGACGGACGGGCTTTAGCGCAGAGGAAATATCTGTTGCGTATTTGCTGTTTAGACCCTCACGGAGGATGTGTTTGCTGGTTTCAGAGGAGAGACGAGGGGAGGGACAGGGAGAGGCGCGATCTCGCGAGAGGGAAACGCGGACCAGCTGCCCCGCCCCCGCCCGGTGCACGCCCCGCCCCCACTCGGCGCACGCCCCGCCCCTACTCGGCGCACGCCCCGCTGGGGTGCGACCCCGCAACCTCCCGGTGTACGGGCCGATGCTCCAACCCACGGAGCCACCCGGCCGGGGCCAGAGGAAATTTCCCGGATGGATGTCACCGTTCACCACCCGAGAGCAACACGTCCAGCCCCCAGGGCAGGCGCCCGGCGCGCCCCGTACCTGCACCGAGGCCGAGTAGGTGCTCTTGACGGCGGGCGTGTCGAAGCAGGGGAAGAAGGCCCGGTTCAGCACCGCCTGCCCCTGCGTGTACACGAAGGGCTTCTCCTTCCCGGCCGTCTGCTCGGGCGCCAGCCAGCACACCTGCGGGACGGACGCTTCAGAGACGGCCTCTCGCGCCAGCTCGGCCCCCGGCGGGGGCGGGGGGAGGCTGAGAGGCTCAGGCTCAGGGTCACCCCCACGACGTCTGTCCACCTGTCCGGCTCTGCTGGGCCAGCCTCTCCGGCGTGCCCCGGTGTGGCGTCCACTTCACCGGGCAGACACCCCGGCGGGCCCGCCCCTCCCCACTGCAGACTGGCCTCCGACCCTGTCACCCTGTGTCCCTCCCCAGCAGTTTCTCGTCAGATAACGAAAACCGAAGCAGCTGCACGTGAACTTGTGAGCGAAGACCCAGAACATCAGGACCTGAGTGGGAGGAGCCCGCGGCTCCTGCGTGATGGCCGCTCCGCAGGTGCCCGCCCTCTCAGAGCAGACACTCCTCGTGCCCTGGGCACTGGCCACCCCCTCCTCGCTCTCCTCGAGCCCCTCCCTCCCCGGGCAGACTGACCGGAATGGCCACAGCGAGATTGAGTTCACGCATAACACGGACACAGGTAGCCGTGGGGGGCAGGGGGGCATGTCAGCACCCAATGCCGTCCAGAGTTCAGGAGAGGGCTGAATTCCAGGAAGTTCACAGGGAAAGTAAAACCCCGGGGCTGCGCCTCCACCCGGCAGGGCTCGGACACGGGAGAGGAAGGGAGAGGCCCCTCTGGGCAGCTCCACGTGCAAAGGTCTGGAGGGGAGCGGGCTCTGGGCACTGGGGTGGTAACAGCGGAGCCGGGCGCCTGCCTGGGCAGCGGGCCTGGGGCACTCTGGGCACGCAGGCCCTGGGGACCTCAAGACACCAGGTGGGGCTGCCGGGCTTTTCTCTGCTGGAGTGTTTGTTTCAGTGCGCGTGACAATTTCAGTGCGCCTCCCTGCAGAGTCGGGCAGAGACGGACAGAGGCGGACAGAGATGGACAGAGCGGGGGTGAGCAAGGTCAGAGCAGAGAAACCGACGGCCCTCCTCCCGCCCAGTGACCAGGTGGGCACCAGCCACCCGCCACGCTCACACTGCGTCCCCTCCACGCGATGGGACGCACTCTACCATGTACAATTCCACCCAGTCTTGTCGTAAACCTACAACTGCTCTAAAAGATAGTCTGTCTTCTCAAACCAAAACCCACAACCCCAGTCCAGCCATGAGAAGAACATCAGGCAGATCCCCAGAGGGGGGCGCCCTGCCATACACCTGACGGATGCGCCTTCAGGCTGTCACGGCCACCAAAAACCAGGGAAGCCTGGGAAACGGTCGCGGGCAAGCATGGCAGCCAAACGCACTGTGGCTCCCCGGCAGGCTCCTGGGGCAGCGATGGACACTAAGGAACATGTACCCCACCGAGGCAGCTGCAGCCTCCCGCTGGCAACAGCGTATCAGCACTGGAGCCCCGACTGGGCCGAACGGACCACACTGGCTAAAAGCTCAGAGGCGACAGTGCGTGGAGGGGGTATATGGAAACTACACCTTCTAGATTTTTCTGTTAATCTAAACTGTTTCGTGTTTTTTTTAAAAGTAAGTAAACCCTATTAATGAAAAAATGGAAGGAGTTGACCCCACAAGCTCAGGCCGAGCACCCAGTGGACACCCAGTGGGAACGGCCAGAGGCGACCCACGGAACTCCTCCCTCTCGCCACACGGACTGGGCCCTGGCACACGGCGCAAACGTGGGCCCCAGCCCCTCCCACATCGTCTTTGCCGGCGTGTTTTCAGTGACTCCACGGAAAGGGCACGGAGGAGCAGGCAGCGCTCGCACTATGGGAAGAGCCTGCCGCTGGTCCGTGTGGGGGGGGCACCGCCCAGGAGCTGCGGGGGGCCCGCGCAGGGAGTAAATGAACACAAGTGCTGCCCGTGGGGACCCCCTGGTGCCGAGGGCGGTCCTTCACGAAGTGGGGGAGCGCGAATCTCGGTCCCTATGGCATTTCACTTTGACATGTGATCCCAGGTGCCACTCTGAGTAGGTAAATTCAGGGAGGACTTACTTTTTCTAGCTCCCCTGTTCAATGTCTGGTTCCTGCCAGAAACCAGGAGCAGAATACAAAAGAGAAACCAAACTTGTTCCTGGAGTGATGTTATCGCTTTGAGGGGTGGGGGTGGGGGTAGGCCCTGGGCTTTCCCTTTGCCAGGGAGGTCGGTTTGCCTTGCTTTGGAGTTTCATTTTTAAAACAAGTCGTATCATCAAGTTCATTCACTCCCCAGGCGATGGAAGATGGAAACAGCGCCGTCCTCCGAGCCAGTTCTAAGAGCGAGAGGCACAGGGCTCGTGGGGTGACCCCACTTCAGGCAGCGGCCAGCATGTTCTGCAGAACTCGGGGGACCCACCCATTCTCGGAAAGGGCTCTCTGCTTCCTCTGGGGTTTCTGGCTCTCACGGCCCTCGGCCGTGGGACTTTCTGTCACCCTCTAGTTTCCTCGACTGGCCCCCACCTTTGAGATTTAGGGGTCAATCAGGGGTGAGGAGGCTGTGTTACTATGCAGCCTCCTGCACTCTGACTACAGCTCTGACTTTCGCTGAGATTCTTCTCTTAATCACAACCCAACAAACGGAACCATCTGGGCTCAGAGCTGGTGCCGCAGGTCGCACGAAGGACGCAGGGAACAAAGGCCCGGGTTGGCCTGGGGGCTAATCGACCTGCCGCCATAAATCGCAGAAATCGATCGGACTTGGACCTCAAGGTCCCGGAACACTCCATTCTATTTATAGAGTTCAGATTATGCCCACAGCCGCGCAGGGCACGGTCCCCTCCTCCGGCAGAAATGGGAACCAGACACGCGAGTTCCGGGAGGAAGTGAGACCCAGGTACCATCTGGACGGGTCACTACCATCGCCGGGAGGAGAGGGGCGCGTGGTGCACCGGGGCTCCGGGCCTTGGGGGAAGGGTGGCGGGGGTCTGCTCCTCTCCCTCCGCTGGGGACACCCGGCGACCCCCGAGCACTCACCGCGGGCCCCTCGCCGACGCGGTAGGTGAGCAGCACCTGGAAGCGCTCGCCCGCGGGCCGGGGCTGCGGGAAGCACAGGCACAGCGCGCAGCCGTAGCGCGCGAAGGGCTGCGTGCGGAAGCTCACGGGCTCGTCGGGGCCGGAGGGGCCCCGCCGCAGCGCCGCCGCGGTGACCTCCAGGCACGGGTGCGAGTCCAGCCGCAGCTCGGCCGCGCCCGCGGGAGCCAGGCAGCGCAGATCCAGGGTCGCCGTGCCGCTCAGAGCGCGGCTCGCGAACTCGATCCGCAGGTCCAGGTGCAGGTGCAGCACCTCGAAGTCCCGGAAGTTGGACGCCGAGGCCACATCCACCGCCCGCGCGGAGTGCAGGGCCCGCGGTGCCGCGCCGCCGGCCATGGTTCCTGCCGACTGCCGGGAGGCCCGCCCGCTCGCCGGCTAGCGCTGGGCCAGGCCCCGCCCCCAGCGCAGGCCGCACCCCGAGCGTTTTGCGCTGCTCGAGGCCCCGCCCCGGACGGGCCCCGCCCAGCTCCGGAAATCCGAGCGGGCCCACCCTCCAGCCCTGGACTGTTTCCAAACGGGAAAGAGCAGCCTGGTATGCGTTCCTAGTTTTGCAGTGTTAAAATACTTTTTATTTGATGAAATGCTTGTTTTTTAAAAACTCCATATATGGTCAGTCTCCCTTCTCTTCTGCCTTCCTGGTTACGAAATCCGAAAGTGGGAAAACCCCTTTCCTGTGGCCGGAGCACCCGGGTGGCCACCTCCCAGCCCCCAGCCGTCGGGCGGGGCGCTCCGTCCCGTCCCGCCCAGTCTGCGCTCCTGGGCCCGGGGTCCGGACAGCTCCGGGGCTCGAGTGGCCAGGATGGGCAGAGTGCAACGGGGACGCGGGGCAGGACACCCGCTGGTCTTCCCAGTTACCGTTGCAGGAGGAAGGGGCCTTTGTCCTTGGCTGTCGGGTGGAACGTTTCTGGGTTGGGCTTCTCGCTCGGCCTCACCTTCCTCCCGGGAACACCAGCGGCCTCGGCCTGTCATTCCCACTGGGCCTCCCATGGGGCTGCGCCCCGGCCACTCACCCACGGGCCCCAGGAGAACCCTCTCCACGGCAGAAAGGAGAGCTGTGACCCCTGCCGCCTCTGCCCCACAGGGCTTTCGTTATTACTGACTTCTGAATGCTCAGAACGTTGACACCCCTGGGACACCGCAGACTACTGGCTGGAAGTCTCCCCCGCTGGTGACAGCATGGGTCCATGGAGACTTCAGGGTACAAGGCCGCTATATGAAAACCAACCGTATTTCTACTCACTGATAGACAATAAAACCTGAAACCTGAAAAACTATGCCGTTTAGTTAGCACTCTTGAAAATGAAACACCTAGGCTTAAGTCTAACAAACCATTACACACACGATCTTTGTGCTGAAAAGACGGGAACACTGATAAAACTTCCGGGCAATCCCAGTAAAAACCCCAGCAGGTCTTTCTGCAGACAGCAGCCAGCTCCTTGTGAAGTGTGCAGGGACAGAGAAAGGGACTGGAGGAGCCACAGGGGTGGTGAGAGCACTGGACGACACACCGAGGGCGGGGGGCTGGGGGTGGGAGAGTAGCCACCGGGCTCAGGGGCGTGGCCCACACGTAGCAGCTTGAAGGATCCCAGGTTCCAAACTGGACTCAGAAGTGCACTCCGCGGCAGGGTGGCAGGCAGCCTCGGACGCCAGGAAGAGCAGGGGGAGGCGGGCGGGCCCTTCCTGAGGGGATATCAGCGGGACACGGAGGACCCACCCGGGAGGGGCCCGGGCAGACTGGCCCTGGGGTCTGCCCGTCTCCCCAGGCACTTCCTTCAGGGACTAAAACCAGCTGGCCACTTCACCTGCGTCCTGGGCTCTACTCCAGCATGCCAAAGTTAGCTTTAGAATACTCACTAAACATTGTAGGTTTGCACTTTTAAGAAAACATTTACTAGACTCTAAACTATCTAGTTTTCTATTATTTGCTAATTTAAGACCAGTGGAATCTAAGTGGTGGGTTAAGAGTTTTCTCAGTAAAACTCAAACTTACAGGCTGAAACTTTTCATTGAAAGAACCATCAGGAAAAAGGGGGAGAGGAGAAAAACCACACAATGCGAAGCGAACAGCCACCCCCACACTGCAGGCTGACCCCCCCCACACTGCAGGCTGATGGAGGGCGGGGAGGAGGCCGAGCCGGGGGCCTCCGGGGGCCTCCTCCATTCCGTGTGCCGGGGTGTCTGGCTTCAGTCCACCGAGCATCCACCAGGGGCCCCCACACACCACCCGCTTCGGTGCGTGGGGATGAGCACAGAACTCGCGCCTTCCCACAGGCGGGCCGGCGTCCCCAGTGGGCTCAAGGAGGAAATGCAGAGTCTACGGCTCATCTTAAAAGGAGCGAGTTCCAGGAGTTTTATTGTTCGGCCCGCAGAACACGAAAGCAGGCGGGGCCCCCGGTGAGGGTGGCCAGGCCCACGTCTGCCCCGCGGCCTGCGTCTCCTCGGCACCGAGTCACCGGTGAGGACGCCGACCTCGCTCTGACCGCGGATGCAGTCCTCGGGTGAATAAATACACGGCGGCCTCCTACGGCCCCGCCCCATGCTCCTCCAAATAGAAAAAGTGCTAAATGTCTCTGTGTGGCCTGTTGGCCTCGGTCATCCCGCCCACGGTGACAGGAACTCCAGCGCCCCTCGGAGGCGCCTACTGGTACTGCCGGTAGTCCCCGAAGGGCGAGGGGGGCAGCGGGGCCGAGGGGAGCTGGGACGGGTCTTCGGCAAACTGCGGGCCTGCGGTGAAGAGGAAAGAGCTTTAAGGACCACTTGAACGTTGGATAATCAAAGACAATCTCTGCAGAAAGTATGGCAACCAACTCGGTGAAAATGCTGTGTCCACTGGAGCTGGGACCCGGCCGAACCCCCCACAAAGCGCCTCCGACTCGGGGTGAGTGGGGCTCCCCTTGTGGCCAGAGCCCACAGCTCTGCCGTGGTAAAAACAAGGTAGTGGAGTGGCCAGAGTAACCGAGTCGGACCTCCCAAGTGACGGCTGGGGGGAGGGGGGGCAGACCAGGAGTGCGAGGGGCCCGGCCCCCACCCACTCCACGGGCACCGACAGGCGGGGGGGCTGAAACTTGCCCAAAAGACACAGACTCTCTGGCGAGGTGCCCTGGGGAAATCAGGTCAGGCCGGCAGCTGTGACCTGCTCCCAGCTCCGTGCGGAGCTTCTCCAAGCCCCAGAACTCACTCTCGGCCGTCTCACTGCCATGCGCGCTGCCCTTCCCGGGGGCCGGTCTGGGTTTCGCTGCTTGTACTCCTGCCCACCCCCCCACCATGCCCGGGACATTCTCACCGAGACTGTCGAGGCGTCCACAGCTACAAGGGACTGACCCTCGTTTCACAACCACACAAGGACGGCTCAGCACTCAGTGGGACTCGCCCCGATGCCCCGGGTGAGAGGGACCACGAGCAGCAGAAGGCCTGTCCCTGAGAACCCGAGTGACCCTCCCCAACAGGAGCCACTTCCCACCACCCTCGCGAGCAAGGGACACAGTCACACGGCCCCATCTGGCCCTGAACCTGGCGGTCTGTCCTCCACTGCGGTGCCCCCAGCACCTAGAGCAGGGCCCGGCCGGCACGCGGACAGCAGTGCCTTGTGGGCTGACCACCACTCTTGTGGCACATCCTCAAGGCCCTTCCCCCAGCACCTCGGAGATGAGCAGCAGCTCCTCGGGGTGAGCGAGTGAGCGCTGGCCGCCGAGAGCTCCACGGGGAGATCGGCAGGAAGTCACCCAACCAGCGCGCTCTGGGGCCCGGGGTCGGCCCTGACGGAGCCCGCGCCCCGCCTCTCCAGCGGGACCGGGGCCCGTGGTGACCCTCGCAGCCCACCCACAGTGGCCGCACGGGGCAGCAGGCCGCAGACAGACTCACCGTTGGGGAACTGCGCGGAGGCAAACCTCGTGAGCAAGATGCCGGCCCCTTCGATGAGAGCCAGGAGGATGCCGCCCATCGCGGCCGAGCCGACCATGGCCACCGGTCCGTCTGGTGCAGCGGCGAGAGAGAGAGCACGGTAACAGAAACTGGGTTCAACGCCACGTGCAGCCAAGGAAAGAGCTGCCCACGTGCCTACGGCCGCCACCCCCCCCAAAACCCTCTCTCTCACTGGCTGAGACCGGGGTCCACAGACTGCGGCCCCAGAGCAAACGCAGCCCACGGCCCGCTCACGGCCCCAGGGCTCCACCGGCACAGCAGTGCTCGCCCGAATCCCGGCTGCCCTCAGTCCCAACGACCCAGAAAGTGGTTCTGTGCGCTTTATCCGTGACGCCCCGCTCAGGACAGGCATGACCACTAGTCCCAGAGGGCCGGGACACACACACACACACACACACACACACACACACACACACACACAGCACAAGCTTGCAGGGTGCCCGGGGACCTGGGGCTCGCGGGCTCCTAGCCACGGCAGCACGCAGGGTGGAGCGCCAGCCCTCGCCCTCGGAACCCCCACCAACCCTCCTGCCCCCCCCCCCACCACAGGCACCCCAGGAGCCTACAAGCTAAGACAGAAGAGGTTCCCTCGGGAAACGATCGACACTCACTTCTGGCGGCCAGAACGGCTCCTGTGAGGGCCCCGCTGGCGATGGAGTTCCAGGGGTCCTCCTTGCCCCGCACCTGAACCAGGCTGCAGTCGATCATGGAGAACAGGCCGCCCCAGACAGCGAAGCTCCCTGTTTTCATGAATGAAGACAGCACAGGCGTCAGTTTGCCACTCCACTCTTCGCACGCTGCCGCAAGAAACAAGCTTGGGCCCTGGCTGGCGTCGCTAGTGGGTTGAGCGCGGGCTGCAAACCAAAGCCTCGCAGGTTCGATTCCCAGTCAGGGCACATGCCTGGGTTGCAGGCCATGACCCCCAGCAACCGCACGTTGATGTTTCTCTCTCTCTCTCTCTCTCTCCCCACCTCCCTTCCCTCTCTAAAAAATAAATAAGTCATAAAAAAAGAAAAAAAAGAAGCTTAAATAACACTATGTTCTCAAAACTCTCTCCCCGCAAACACGCGCACGCACGCACAGTCTGGACGAGCAGAGGTCAGGAGACACCCCCCTCCGCCCCGCCTGCCGACGAAGCCCTGGGAACGTCCAAGACGATGCCGACCAGCAGGCCTCTGCTGGCACCGCTCCCGGCCCTGCCCCCCGACGGCTCCACCCACCCCATCCTGCGCGAGTGGGCCTGAGCACCTGCCCCACGAGAACCACCGTCGGGGACACGAGAGGCCCAGCTCTTCTGGGTGTGTCCCAGGCTGGCCCGTGCACACCAGCGGGCGTGGGACGGCACAGCGGGAGTGACAGAGAGCCCCGCGGGGAAAGAGGCCACCGCTCCTTCTCCGCCCCCCTTGCTCCGCACACGTGAAACCAGAACAAGCCTGCATCAGGCCACTCCGCTCCCGGAGCAGACTCTCTTGAGACACAGTGACCACTGCCCGCCCCCCCCCGTGCTGTCCCCGGGGCATCTTCCCGTGGTCGGTGACCGTGACCCGCTCCAGCCCGAGCTGCACGCACAGCACCTCAGCTTCTGCCCCAGGGGGTCCTCCTGTCCCCTCGGGCTCCCCTGGGCTGACTGCTGCCCGGTCGTCCTCCACTCACTGAAAACACCACATGCCGGACACAGCCTCTCAGGAGACAGGCAGGAACCCGCCTGACCCGTGTGACCTCTGTGCACGCGAGGGGATCGGGGTGACGCGCACTGACACCAACCCCGCTCCCGGCCGGCCGAGTCGGAGGGAAACCAGCCACTGCTTCCTCCCCTGTGCGCACGATTATCGCAGAGGGAAGCACAGGGAAACGGCGCCATCACCACAACCCTCGGGCCCGTGTTTCCTCGTCGGCAAAGCGGGGTGCCAGCGCCCCCTGGGGGGCAGCAGCACGGCACACCGCTGGCACGTGGTCCAGGGTGGCGTCAGCTGCGGTCTCTGCAAGGACGCTTGAGGGACAGAAGACTGCCCTTTCGGACGCACAGAGTGTCTGAGGAACGGCAGGAGGTGGCAGTGCTCCCCCAGCGTGGCTGCGTCTCTGTGAACGGACACAACTCCCAGCTTGCGAGCACGCAACTGGGAACCCTGCACTGCCCCGCGGTGTCCAGCAGCCCTGGGGAGGAGCCCGTCCAGCCAGTCGGGGTCTCCCTCGAAACCCCGCCCTCACCACACGCCCTCTTCAGCCTTGTCGCCCCGGCAGCGGTCCCTCCCGACCGGCGCAGCCCTGCCCCAAAGCCCGCCGCTGTCCTCTGGGCAGGAGGGGGGGCTAAACAGACCACTGAGCACGTGGGGGGCAGAGTCGAGATTTCCGACTGTTTCGACGACTCCAGTCCCTTCCCAAATAAGCCACCGGCCCAGAGATCCCCACTCGTGGTCTCCCGACTGCTGGGCGAACTGGCTCGGGGGCTGGTGTGATCTGAGGGGGCAGGAAGTGGAGCGTTCTCTGAGCGAACGGGAAGCGCGTCCGCGGCACGAACCTCCCAGCTGTGGGGCCCGGGTCTTCACGGCTGTCAGGCTCCCTCGCAGCCTGTGGCTGACGCCCTGTGAAGACGCAAGCAGAAACGTGTCACCAGCACCGTCACCCCCCGCCCGCCGACCAGCCCGTGTGACCCGAGCAAACCCACAAGACGCCCACTCACCACTGGAGAATTGCGGAAGCCTTTGATCGCCTGGAAGACTCCGCCCCCGATGGTGCCCATGGTGAAGGCCCCGCCACAGTCATCCACGATGCGCCAGGGGCTGCGAGCAGGGGAGGGAGGGAGGGAGAGGCCTCATTTTTCGTCTGTACACCGCAAACCCGTTGCCAGCCCCGCGCCGGGCGCAACAGGCCCCAGGCAGGGTCCTCTGCAACCAGCACACACGTGCCCAGGACAGGCCGGCACAGCTGCAGGGCTCCGCCCCACCCGTGTGCGTCCAGCCCCCAGCTCGGAGTCAGGGGGGAGGGAAGTGACTCCGCCTCCGTCCTGGGCACTGGGGGGAGGGGTGCGCTGCAGGGCAGGGGGGGGGGCACAGAGGACACACGAGTCTGGGACGCTGCACTGTCACCACGAGTGTCACCCCGTCTCCCGGGGATCAAGGTGAGCTTTCCAGCTGCAGGGACAGTTAAAGCTGGATGAAGGAGGAGTCAGCAGGGGCAAAGGAAGACCGATCTGTAAGATCGGTCTTAGGGTCTGAAACTCTTCCGGGGCTGGTCAGAGTCAACTCAACGTTCAGAACCTCGGCCCGTGTCAGGTCCATTTCACTCTTGTGGACTCCGATGCCCAGTGTCTGGAGGTTAGACCGGCACCCCACTTCCACAGGCAGCGCCCTAACTTACGCGACACCCAGTACACTGACCAGGAGGCTAGTGCGACTCGTCTGAGAATCTGGTCCACAAAAAAGTCTGAACACTTAAGTTCATTTTCAATCCATTCTTTTTAAAGATTTTATTTATTTTACATTTAGGGAGAGGGAGAGAGGGGGAAACATCCATGTGTGGTTGCTCTCATGCACCCCCTCCTGGGGACATGGCGCACAACCCAGGCACGTGCCCCAACTGGGAACCGAACCGGTGACCCTTTGGTTCACAGGCCTGTGCTCAATCCACTGAGCCACACCAACTGGGGCCATTTTCAATCCATTTCAAATGCAAGTATCTAGTGTCAAGGGTTGAATGCTATAACGAGCTAGGGGCCATCTACCTGCTCAGGTAAACTTGTGAATTTGGTGTATTCATACTGCTGGGGAATTTGAACAATGAGTAGTTTCTGACTTTCCCAGACAGGGGAACCTTGCCGTCAAAGCACCGTGTCCTCTTCCGGTACAGCGCAGCTCAGGGCCTCACGCAGAAGGACCCTCGCAGGCGGCAGGGCCCACCTGGGCCCCGCTGATCAGGGTCCACAGGTGACCCGACTGCACGTTAAGAGCTTGAAAACCGGGCCACTCCTCCGGAGTGGTGGAGACATCACTGGGAAGTAAAGGGGAGGACAGAACGAGTCCGTGGCTCCCTCCCTGAGCGCTGGGGCTGCCGTGAACGAGCACCTTGACCTCCCAGAGGGGCGCCCGGAGCGCACGTCCCAGGAGAGGGCGTCCAACACAAGGCAGATGGGCAGACGGGCGGTCCCTGACCAGGGAGCAGCCAGGTCAGAATGCTCCCGCGGGGCTGTCGGTGAGGGCTGCACGCAAGGGTCAGGCCAGAGCCTCCTGGGGCGGAGGCGCCAGGCAAGCCCAGCTCAGAGCGCCGGGACAGCACTGGGGCCACCGGCTATTGTTTAATGGGTACCAGCCACCTTAGGTGCCTCGCCATGCAAACAAAGCCTACGACTTTCAAGAAAGTGAGGCTGTTTCCCATAGAGTACCTAACCTTCTAGCTTCCCAAGAGCTCTCGTCTGCTCTCCGTTTCACAGCCAAGGCTCAGAGGTGAAGGACCTGGCCCAGGAAGGGCCAGAGGAGCAACTGCGGCACAGACGCAGCGCGGCCAGGGCCCCGGCCCCCTCCCACTGCAGCGCAGACTGGGGGCTTCTAACGCCAACGAAGTGTTCAGGGGTCCTCCATCTGGCGTCCCAAGAGGGGCTGGAGGGGAGGAGAGCAGCCAGGAAGCTGCGGTAAGAGGCACGGGGACCCCAGGGAAGACTCCGGCGACAGGAACTGGAAGGCTGAGGTTCGGGGGGACAGCTCAGACTGCACCGGGCGGGAAGGGCTGGGTGGGGGGGCAGGTGCGTGGCGGGAGCCTGGACAGGAGATGCTCCCCCGGACAGGGCCGCGCAGGCCGTCAGAACGTTCACCCACCGACCACAGGGCTGACCGCACACCCACTGCTCTGCTTCGAAGCCAACGAGTGCGCCCGGTAGAGAGCCAAGGGGCACCCAGTGAGTCAGGTGAGCACTCGTCACTCCTGGGACGTCCTTCTTTCCTGTGTCCTGGGAGGACACTGGTAACGAAGTCCTCCAGGGTTCCGGCGTCCTGTGCGGATGCACCATCTGTGCACTGGGCTGTGCGCTCACCAGCCCAGGTCGGGTCTCCTCCAGCACCGTTTGTCCCCCCTTCACCCTCCCCCACCCCCCACCCCCATCCCCCAGGAGGTGACCACGCTGTCTGCTGTCTGTGTCCCGCAGGTTTCCCACCCAGCCCCCAACGCCCGCCTCGCTGAGAGCTGTCTGTCTGTCCTCGGTACCTGGGAGTCTGTTCCCGCAACATCTTTAATTCACAGAAGTCAGACGACCCCCCCTCCTGCCCACCTGTACAGGTGTGAGGGCAACAACGGGTGAGCGCAGGCGGCGCCTCTGAGCACGCTCCGGGGGGGGGGGGCGCAGTTCCCCGGAGAACGGAAGTTTCGAGAGCTCGGAGGCGCCGAAAACAGGTAGTAGCCTGCACCCCACTTCTGGGGCGGGGGCTCAGCACAACTGAAAACAGCGTGTTTCTGCTGACGCGGTAAAAAACGCGATCGACCCCAAGAACGAGGTCTGGCGTTTTGGCCGATGACCCCACAAGCCTGAAAGTCGGGCCCCCGAGACCTGCGCCGGCAGCCCTGCCCTTTACCACGACCCGTCTCTGGGCCCGGCTTGCTCCTGCTCCTACCGCCCGAGCCCTCCCTCAGCCGGCGCTCCACGAACGCGAGAGCCGACTCCTCCCGTCCACGGCTCCGGGGAGCACGTTCCCCGGACAGCTTCTGCCTCCTGGCCCCCCGGGATTCCGAGCACGAAAACGGGGCCCCCGCCTGCCGCAGCTTCCCCAGACCCGCCGGGTACCACCAGCGCCCGCTCGTTACGGACGCTCCGCCCGGCGGACGCTGCGGAAAGGGCACCCGCGGGGCCGGGCTGCCCCTCCTCGACGCGGGCGGCGGGGGCAGTGCCTGGCTCGCACAAGGTCGGGGCGCGGGCCGGCGCTGCGGGGGCAGGTCCGGGGCCGCTTCCAGCCCGAGCCCGGACCTGTCACCGTCCACGGCAAGGTCACGGGGGGCCGGGTGCGGGAGGCCGGCGCCGGGGAGCCGACGGGCCGCCGAAGCCCGCACCGCCCACGGCCACCGCGCCCGCGTCGACGCCCTCGGGGCCTGGAGGCCGGGGAGAGCGAGGGCGGGCGGGCAGGACGGGCGAGGACACCGCTCCCACTCACCAGGGCTCCCGCGCGTACTCCTCCATCTTGACTCCAGCGCGTGAGAGTCGCCGGGCGGCGGGGCGGGGCCTGACCCGGAGGCGGAAGTCACCCAAGAGGGGGGCGTTAGTGTCTGTGGCGATTGGCTCCCCGCTTCCGCCCACAGCCAATGGAGGCCCGACAGCGCGAGGGGCTGGCCTCGCCCGGCCCTCCGGGGGGCGGGGCCGGCCGACGGGACCGCGAGCTGCCGGCGGCGAGGGGTCCCCGTCCCCGCCACCGAGGCGTGGTGCCCGGAGAGGGTCAGGTGTCGTCCCGCCGGGGTCCCCAAGTTCCCCAGGCACGTTCCTCTCCCTTCGTGCTCTGTCTGGGCTACGAACTGATGCCGCCCGGCCCGACACGACCAGGAAGCTCTCCGCGACGGCACGCGGCCCTTGGGTCCTGGCGCCTGGCACGTGGGGGGAGGCCCCACGGACGCGGGCGAGGTGCGGGGACCGGACGGGCAGCGGCCGCAGCCTCCCTCAGTGCCCCCAGAGGGTCTGAGCCGCTCCCCTCCGGGCCGCCCTTGGGAAATGGACCGCTGCAGACGCCCAGGTTCGCCCGGGCCGACTCCGGGCGTGACTGCGGCTGCACCCCCCCCCCACCGCCCACCTCTCTGTCGATAGAGCGGGCGTGCACGGCCCCCGAGCCCCCCGCACGGCGGCGTTCCTGCAATGAAGTAGCCAGGGAACAGGGAGTGTTACATGAAGCTCATCGGGAAGGGGGGACACATTTGCAGTCCTGTTCGTGTCTGTTGATACCGCGGGTTCCGTCCTCCGGAGGCGTCGCCTCCCACCACGCCTCCATCAATGTTGCCTAAAGGAACGTGCTAGAAAACCAACCTTAAGTGACTGGAGGACCAGGAATACCCCCCTCGCCCTGGGAGGAGGGGGCGTGGTCGTTTGGGACTCCGCCCCTCTGAACCTTGTCCTTCTACCCTGCAGGTCCCCTGACCCAAGGGCACTGGGGGCCCAGAGAGCTGCACCCCAACAGGTCCCAGGCCGTGGCTCCAACCCCCTGGTCCCACCTGGCCCTCTCGCCCAAAGCCCCGACTGTCGTGGGCGAGTAAGGCGCATCCCACAGCCAGCTGTAGGGCCTGGGGTCCAGCTGTGTGTCGGGCTGTTTGCTGGGCAGGGGGTTCGGAGCCATCTCTCTTCCGCTCTCCTCGCTTCGCTGTCCAGCCTTTCCGTTCCTCGGCCGGGGCCGGTGTCAGAGCTCTCTGCCCGTGTCCACTCTTCCAGGAGGCGGGGCAGACAGTGGCTCTGTGCGGAGAAACTTCCCGCCCCACCCCCAGAAGGGAACCAGTGGGGCGCCGTCCCCAGAGGGCATGCTGTGCCTGGTGCTGTGCTCCGCACGGGGCATGTGCTGCCCGCTCGTCCGCTCAACGCCTCCACACCCCTGGGGCGTCGGTCCTCTTCTCCTCCGGGTGGGGACGCACCACGTCCTGGCTGCCGGTTACCGAAGACACAGAGAGGCTCCCTGAGGGGTTCACGGTCACACACCTCAAGTCCTAGCCCTTGTCATGTGACTCCAGAGCCTGTGGCCTTATCTGCCACCTTGTGTTCCTGGAAATGTGACTTACCTGAGGGCATTTAGCCCAGCGGAGAACCTCCCGCAGCAGTAGTTCCGCACAGGAGCTGCGCTGTGGCTGGAGCTCGGGGTCTCCCCCCAACCCCTGTCTCCCCGACCTTGTAGCACAACAGCGCGAGCGTCTCTCTGCGGAGCGGGCCGTTCCAGCAACTCTTGGTCCCCAAGATGCGCCTGTTTCGGGTGGGAGTGGGGTCTGAGCTCGGATGACCCCTGCCCCTCATTGCAGGGGCTGGGGGCGGGCGTACTCCTGGGCTCTGGGCGTCCGAGCTGTCCATCCCGCCGTGACACCTTCCGAGGGCAGACTTGGGGAGCCTGTGAGCTGTGGCGGGGGCCCAGGGGCTCGGAGGAGCAAAGGCTTCAGACTGGGTCAAACCAGGAGGGCCCACCGCTTGGAGCTGTGGGGTCTGCAGCACAGGAGATGCGGGGGGTGACGTGCAGAAACGTGGTCGGGCGGCCCGAGCCCCACCCTTTCGGCCTAGGAGCCGTGGGCCTGTCTGTGAGGACGTCCCTGGTGCGGGGACCGCTGAGGCCAGAAGACACAGAGGGAAACCACAGGTGCAGAGGCTGCGGGGGGGGGTGGGGAGGGGGGAGGACTTGGGAAGAGTCAGGCCCTGGCTCCTCATCAGGAGGATTGAACACATTTGGCCAAGGTTCTGAGAAGGAAGAGTCCTGGAGGGCGGGGAGGGAGCTGTTCTCAGCTGAGAGGGAACTAGAGGTTGGGTGGGGCGGCCCCCGGAGCCAGGGGTCCAGGGATGCCTCTTGTAGGAAGCTCCCCTGGGCGGGAGGGAGGCGGAGGAGGGACAGGAGCAGGGGTGCAGGGAGCAGGGGTCACCCTCCGCCCAGCGTGCCAAAGCCCGCTGCAGGCCAGCTCCCTGCAGAGCTCTGTGGCCCCCCCAGGCTCTCACCAACAGCTTCTAGTCCTTCTGCTTCACTTGGACTTCAGTGGGATTGTTTTTACCCCACAGATCACACACTTAAAAGACAACAACCAGCCCTGACCAGTGTGGCTCGGGGGGCTGGGTGTAATCCAGCAAGACGAACGGCCACTGGTTCAATCCCCGGTCTCAGCACACGCCTGGGTTTGGTCCCCGGTCCAGGCACATGACAACGAGAGGCGATTGACCAAAGCTTCTCTCCCTTGCTTCCTCCCTTCCTTCCCCCCGTCTCTAAAAGTAAATAAATAAAACCTTTAAAAATAAGGAAATAAAAGACCATGACCACGGTGTCACTACTTTTGTATCTGTCTCCCCATGGTGCGTGGCAGGGTGCTGTGCACCCACGGCAGTCTCCGAATCAGCACGGCGTGAGTGAGCGAGAGCCAGGCGAGAGCCTAGGTATGCGAGTGCACGGAGGGCGGAGGCGGCTGAGGGACAGAAGGGAGGGGGTGGGGCAGGGAGGTGGGGCAGGGGCCGGGGTGAGAGCGGACGGAGACAGTCAGGATAACCGCTGAGGGCTGCCGAGTGTCTGCCGACATCAGGTTTAACTACGACGGGTTTCCCGTGAACCTCAGATGTAACGTTCCTCCGCCGTGCCAGGTGGGCACACCTGCTGTTCACACTCCACAGCCCATGAGGCCGAGTCACACAGGAGACGGAGCCCGGCCCAGAGTCTCCGGGCCGGCGAGTCGCAGGAGGCGGAGCCCACGCGGGTCTGTCGGCCCGGAGAGCCCAGGCCACTGCTTCTTGTCGAGTCGAGATGGGCGTGTGCGATTACACACCCCTCCGGTGTGCAACGCTGCAATTCGGTGTGTGTGTCCTCTCTGCCTGCCGCCCACTTCTCCCTCCCCACAGCCTCGCCCCCCCCCCGCCGCCTGTTCCCCAAATCCGCACGCCGGTCACACTCCATGCCTGTGTGCTCCTCCACACGCCTGTCTCCAGGGGACTTCCAGGTTTGGGTGACTTTTGTGAAGTTACTGGTCGGTTGAGTGTCCCCAGCGTTCTCGGGCCGAGCCACGTGGACTTTTCTGATCTGGTCGCAGCCCCGGCTGTCGGAGCGGGGCTGCCGCTCAGTGATTCCACTTCCGGACTCGGGGGCACACACGCCGAGGAAGCCCTCCCCCACACGTCCCCCCAGGTCCCCCCGCCTGGTCTCCGCGCTGCAGGCCCACCTGCCCGCGCCCTCCCCGAGCAGCCTCCCCCCGGAGCTGGCCTGGGGCTCGAAACGCAGGGCCCCGTCTCGTCCCAGACGATCCCTGGACGCGGCGAGTGCTGATCAAGTGACTGCCTGTGGCCCGGGGTGGACAGACGCCAGGAAAGATCGAAGCATCTGCCCCGATGGGTTACACCACGGCTCCGCGCAGCAGCGGCGCGGCGGGGGGCGGCGGGCGGGAGGGGCCGGAGATCGAATGTCCTGTGCCTGCGCGGCGGCGTGCCGGGCCGGCGGCGGAAGGCCCTCGGTCGACACACACGCCCGAGCCGCTGCGCCAGCCCGCCCCCCCGCCCCCCAGGCCCGGAGTCACTTCTCCCTGGAGGCACGGGGATCGTGCTCTGGACCGCGATGCCCTCGGCCGCCCGCTGGCTCCCCCTCCGCGCTCCACGCCCATCGCCCGTCACTGGAAGACCCAGACGCGGAGGGAGGGAGGGAGGGAGGGAGGCTGGAACTCCCTTCCCAGGAGCCTGGGTGCTTCTTGGGCGCGGGCGGCCCCTCAGGACTTTCCCGACTGCCCCCCAGCCCACCTTCCTCCCCATCAGCCAGCCAGCTCTCGGCTCCAGAGGGGGCCCAAGTCCGCAGAGGCCGCGGTGCTCAGCGCCAGGCTCCCATGGGCACGGCCCTCTCCGGGGACGTGTCTCCCAGGCTGTGAAGGGCTGGAAGCCCCCCGCCCCCACCCCCCACCGCAGGGCCAAACACAGGAGAAAGGGGTCAGCGGGCCACGCACGGGCCGCCGGACGCCCGGGCGGGAGCACGGGGAGGGCTGGGGTGGGAGTGAAGTTTGCGCTTGGACCGGCACCGACCCGGGCCGCCCCGCTCTCTTGGCTCTGCCTGGCTCCCCCATCCGCTGCCGCGGCCTCTGCATTTTTGCGTCTTTTTCTCATCGCGTGGCCCCTTGTCTTTAAAAGGCTAAATGCTCTGCACTAAATTTGGTCACACCGCGCTCCAAGATTCCCTGGAATGTCCTCAAGTTTCAAGTCGCTCAGACGGCGGGGGCAGGCCCGCCCCCGCTGGGGGATTGGCTTCTCCGCTCAGGGCCGGGCAGCGGCTCTGTCTCATTGGCCGCCGGGCAGACCGACCGGGCCCACTAGCCCCGCGCCTGGGGAGGCCTCGCTCCCAGTCCTCGGCCCAGCACCTGCGGCGCGCGAGCGGCCCGGGAGCCCGTCCTCAGCAGCGGAGGGTCGGGGTCGCTCCCAAGCCCACTGAGCTGCGTCCACACCCGCCCGTCCCTCCCCTGCCTCCGCCGGCCAGGACCGCCGCAGCCCCTGCCGGAGCCGCAGCCGCTTCGCCAAGATGTCCAAGGTAGCCAAGTACCGCCGGCAGGTGAGCGAGGACCCCGACATCGACAGCCTGCTGTCCACCCTGTCCCCCGAGGAGATGGAGGAGCTGGAGAAGGAGCTGGACGTGGTCGACCCCGACAGCAGCGTCCCCGTGGGGCTGCGGCAGCGGAACCAGACAGAGAAGCCGTCCACCGGCGCCTACAACCGGGATGCCATGCTCAGCTTCTGTGAAAAGGAGACCAAGAAACTGCTGCAGAAGGAGCTCTCCCTGGACGTGAGTGAGCGGGGCCTGGAGGGCGGGAGGCCGGGGTTCACGCTTCCCAGGGACCGGGGCGGGGGCTCCGACACCCTGCCCAAGCTGGCGCTGTGACCGCGTCCCCCAGTTTCTGGTAGGAGCAGGGCTGAGAGACGCTGGCGGGACGCAGGTCAGAGGGGCCGGCCGTGGGCAGACCAGGGAGCCGGGAGCAAGGACAAGGATGCTCCCCGTCTCAGGCCAGCCAGGCAGGGAGGGCTGCGCCCTCCCCGCAGAGAGTGGCTCGTGTCTAATCCCTCCGGCTCTCTCTCGGAGGGCCCTGGGGCGGGCGGGTCTCCCGCGGCAGTGGGAGCCAGGAGGCTGCGGCCTCAGGTCATTCCCAGGAGTGGGGGGCTGCGCTCTGGGGGAGCCTCCAGAGGAGTGCCCCCCCACCGCAGTCAGGGCTCTATCAGCCCCAGGGCCCCTCTGCTGGTCCAGGGAGCATGTCCCCCAGGAGGGGGTGGCCACTGTCTGGTGGGCGCAAGCAGAGCCGGTCCCCATCGTCCGGGGCTGGTGTGTGGTTCTCTTTCTCCGTCCGCCTGTGACTTTTCCGGGGACGCCTGGCTCGCTCCGCCTCGGGGGGAGGACTCTGCAGGGCCCCCTGTCCTCGGGGCGACTGTCCCTCAGGGCGCTGGCCCCCGGTCTCGGCGCCGGTCCCCCCACTCAGCACCCGCCGCCCGCCCCTCGCACGCTGCCCATCCTTGTGAATTCCGGCCGGAAAACACTCAGCCCTCTCCGCTCTCACGGAGGCTCAGTGCTTCGGCTACAGGTCGCTCTCACGTAGACACTCAGAAGGACCGTGTTTCCCGTGGAACGTCTGTCTGGGCGAGAGGCTCGGACCCAGACCCTCGGACCCTCGCCGCCCAGCAGGCTGTGGCCGCAGTCCCGGCTCTGAGCGCACGTAGAGATGGGGGAGTGGGGGGGGTGACGCAGGAGGGGAGGGAGAGGGCCCGGGTTCTGACTCTGAGCCCCCCCTCCCCGACCGGCCCCACCCTGGCCAGGGTTAAGCCAGGAAGTGGGGAGACAGGGGAGCTAGGAGCCCCTTGTCCTCCGGGCAAGGCGGCTGCCTCTGAGAACGATGAGCGGACCCCAAAGGAGCCGGGCAGTGAGCAGGGCGGGGGCCCTGCTGTGGGGGCCTGGTCAGCGAACTCGGGGAGGCAGGGAACTGCACCAAAGGCCTCGCCACGCTCCGGACGCCCCGCTGGGACCCCGTGCTCCCTCCGCAGCGGGGCCCTGGCTCCCCCCCAACCCCCCCCCCGTCCTCGGGCTCTGTGCCTGACCCCATGGACCCAGGGCCTTCTGGTGCCCACAGGGATGCCCCCCCAGACCGAAGGCAAACAGCCGTCACTCCTCCCAGCACGAGAGCCGGGGAGGGACTCTGTGCCCTTCTGCAGGTCCCCCTCACAAGTCTCTCCTCAGCCGGGCAGGACCGTGGCTCTCCGCTCCTCCCCGCCTGCCCTCCTCGCCGCCCCCCCAGGCACGCACCTGTCTGTGCGTGGACTGCCCGGGGCAGGGGGCTGGGGGGTACCCGTGTGTGCAGGGAGCTGGGGAGGGGGGTACCCGTGTGTGCAGGGAGCTGGGGAGGGGGGTGCCTGTGTGTGCAGGGAGCTGGGGAGGGGGGTGCCTGTGTGTGCAGGGAGCTGGGGGAGGGGGGGTGCCTGTGTGTGCAGGGAGCTGGGGAGGGGGGGTGCCTGTGTGTGCAGGGAGCTGGGGAGGGGGTACCCTGTGTGCAGGGAGCTGGGGAGGGGGGGTACCCGTGTGTGCAGGGAGCTGGGGAGGGGGGTACCCGTGTGTGCAGGGAGCTGGGGAGGGGGGTACCCGTGTGTGCAGGGAGCTGGGGAGGGGGGTACCCGTGTGTGCAGGGAGCTGGGGAGGGGGGTACCCGTGTGTGCAGGGAGCTGGGGAGGGGGGTGCCTGTGTGTGTGCACACACATGGTGGCACCCTCTGAAGGAGAAGACACCCTCAGGGCCGCTTTCCCCTCGTGGCAGCGGGCTGCCCTGCCCCCGTCCGAGGGCCCAGGGAGGCAGTGAGGCTGGGGGTGCAGGGCGTGTCCGGAGCCACAGGCCCGAGAGTCATCTCTGCAAACACGGTTACAACAATTAGGAGCAGGTGCGGATCGGGAGAGTGAGCCCTGCCTGGGCGCCGGGGACTGCGGTGAGCCCCTCGCAGGCGGGAGAGGCCAGGGGGTGCTGCACCTGGTAACGGACCCTCCTCTTGCAGACAGGACACTGCCGGGTCCCTGGGACGCTGAGGGGACCGGGGCTCGGCTGTGAGTGGGCTGAGGCCGGAGGAGGGGCCTGTCCCCTGCTGGGGGTGGGCAAGGCGGGGAAACAGGCAACTGCCCCCACCCCTGGGTGTCTGACACTCCCTGTGCTCCCTGGTATACAGACTTCATGTATTTACCTCAGACAGAGGGGCAGGAGGGAGAAAGGGAGGAGAGAAACATCCATGTGTGGTTGCCTCTCGCGCGCCCCCTACTGGGGACCTGGCCGGCAACCCAGGCATGAACCCCGACTGGGAGTCGAACCAGCGACCCTTTGGTTCCCAGACCCGCACACAGTCCCCTGAGCCCCACTGGCCAGGGCTGTGCGAGTTCTTTTATAAACAGAAACCAGTGTGTGTCCTGAGCCCTGGGTCTCCCTGGGGAGGGGGATCCCCGAGATTCATGCTCCAGCTCTAGGGCGGCGGTGGGACCTCTGTCATGAATATGTGCCCCCCCACCCTGGGCCCCCCCCATCAATGCCTCTCTGTCCTTGGGGTCTCAGGCCCCGCCTCCTCCCGCGGGTCAGGACCACACCTGTCGTGAGGGCTCCCACGCCACCTGTCCCACCCACCGGGCACGGGCCTGTCACCTCTGCTTTCGTGCTCAGCCTCTGCTCGGCACCTGAAGGGCAGCAGGGGTCTAGGTGAGGCGGGGCGGGGCCTGGCAGAGCTGACCCCTGGCTCCCCTCCCCCCTTTAAAGGGGCAGCGCTCTCGGCTCGTGGCAGCGGCGGCTCCGCCGGGGCCCTCCCCCTTAGGTCGAAGGCAGAGCCGCAGGGCAGGTGTGCAGCCGACGGTGCCGTGAAACCCTGTCCTTGGCTCAGGTTTCGGGAACCGGATCCCCTTCGGGTCAACTCATGTGTCCTCGTCCCTCCCCTGCCCGCCTCCCCGAGCTCCTCCTGTGCTAGCGGGCCGGGGGTGAGCGCCTGCCGCAGCCCTGGAGTGCAGGGGGCGCTTCTGGGTGCTCCCGGGGTGGACTGGAGAAGCTCACCAGGAGCACCCCTCCGGCCTGCCGGCCCGCCCCTCCGCTCGCTGACCTTCGGAGCCTCACCCCACCTCCCCTCCCGTCCCGGGTCCTGGCCCGGCGAACAAGGGCTCTCCGCGGGGACAGGGGCGCTGGGGAGGCCAAGGCTGCCACCTGAGCCCTCCCTCCGACCGCCCTTCGCAGGGCTGGGCCTGTGGGTGGTTGCCCCGGGCAGCACAGCCCCGACCAGCTCAGCCCTGAGTACGACTACGGGGATTAGCCCGACTGGCTCACACCCACAGCAGCCCTGGGGGCCCTGGGGAGGCAGAAGCGCGTGCCCCGCAAGGGCCCACGTGCAGAGAGAGGGAGGCCGTGCAGGTGGAGAGGGGCGAGGACGGGGCTCACCTGGGAGGGGGCCGTCAGCCGTCAGGGGTCTGGTCTGCCTCCCACTGCATCTCGCAGGCTGGGGGCTTCAGGGTCTCCGGGCTGAGGCGGGAAGAGGCATCTGAGCAGACCCCCAGGGGGGACAAAGCCCTCAGCCAGCCTGTCTGCCCGACCTCGGCCCCTCTCCTGGGAGACCGTGGTGTCTGCCGGTGGCGGAGCCTGCAGGCCGTGCTGGGAGGCCCAGAAGGCGGGGGGCAGGGCCGCCGTGGTGCTGGTGAGGTCTGCACGCGTGAGCCCGCGTGGCGGGGACACAGGCAGAGCCCGGGGCAGGGCGCGGGGCCGGACGCCGGCACTGGGGTACCTGCCCGGGCAGACGGCCCGCGAGGTCCTGGGCTGTAACTCCCGGGCACGTCCGGCCGGCCGGCTGTCCTGTTGGTCAGAGGGGAGGGCCTGGATGCAGAGCCTCCCTCGGGCGGCGAGCGCCTGCGGTGTGGCCACCAAAAGCCCGGGTCCGGGCCGCCTGCTGCCAGCCCTCCCTGAGCCCGCGTGCGTGGGTGGGGGGACTGTGAGCGTCTCTGGAGCCGCCCCAGGGCGGGCGGAGCTGCGGGCTCCTGGGACCCGGGAGGGGGACTGTGAGTGGGGGGAGGGTCACCGACGGTGACACTGGGGGCGGAGTGGACGCGAGGCCCACGCTGCAGACGCTACACCCGCGCCCGTGCCAGCCGGCCGTGGTGAAGAGTCTCTCGGGGCGGGGGAGAACAGCGGGCTGCACGAGGGGACGCGGAGGCCGAGGAGCAGGGGGCCCTCCCCCCAGGCCGGGCCCTCCCCCCGGGCCGCACCTTCTGTGAGAGGCAGCCCCGCGCTGGCAGGCCGCTGGCCCGTGGTCCCTGGGGCCCGCCTCAGGCCGGACAGCCGGCCGTCGTCAGGACACTGTTTACAAACAGCCGGATGGACAGACGGCCTCCTGCTCGCACAGCCCGCCCCGCCCCCTCCCCCTCCCCCCTCCCAGAGCCCCGGGCCCCTCGGCCTGCTGGGTCTTCAGCCCTTGCTTCCGGGGCGAGTGGGACCCCTGCCCCGGGACGCCCAAGGCAGAACTGGGGGGGCAGGACCCCCACGGAGCTCTGGGTGGGGGTGCACCGAGTCTGGTGCTCAGAATAGTGGCCTCAGAGCCCAGGGGACCTGGGTCCGGTCCGCCCCACTGGCTGCCGGCTGTGTGACCCAAACAGGTCACTGCGCCTCCCAGAGATCCTGAGTGGCCCACGCACATGTGACATGCGTGTGTCACGACGAAGAAGGAGCTCGCGGCTTCAGCAGAGAGCACAGGTGGTCCGGGAGGACGCTGCCAAGCGCTGGAGCTGAGCCAGGGCCCCGAG